GCCCCCGGCCCGCTCCCGCTCCCCCGGCTCCGCTCCCGCCGCGCCCCGCGCGGGTTCCGAGCGCCGCTCGAGCACCGCACGGCCTCCCCAGGCGGCGCCCCCTGGCGGGCGGAGGCGGCACCGCCCGGGACTGCGGGACGTGCGAGACCCGGCCTGGAGTGACGGGAATAAAGGCGTCTGTCTCTCTGCCGTGCTTCCGAACAGCTGCGTGCCACAGGATCTGCTCGTCATTACCCGAGGGACACACTCGGCTTTTTTAAAGTTGCCTCTTTTTCTTCATTCCAGGTTTTTATAAAGCCCTGTCACGTGGCTCAGGGTAAGCGAATGCCTTAACACCAACTACAAGGTTATTTTAATGTTAATGCCCTCTATTAAGGACCACACAAATTGAAGATTTCAATTTCTGCTAAAAACCAAATAAATTATGGTATAACAATACACACAGTATCCAAGTAACTGCTAATGCCACACTACAGCTATATAATAAAAGGATTTTAGCACTGAATTTTAATTTTGTGATCCCACAGTAGACTGATAAGCCTTAAAACAGCATGCCTTTTTTTTTTCCTAAGAAAAAGGTTGCCAGGTGCCCATCAAAGCTGCTGTATCACCCCCGCTTTGTTGGCTTGGCAAGAGAGAGAAAATATAACAAAAGGCTCGTTGGTCAAGGACAGGAGAGATCACTCAACAGTTACTGTCATGGACAAAATAGACTGGAGAAATTAGTTTAATTTATTAACAATCAAACCAGAGTTGGATAATAGGAAATAAAATCAAATCTTAAAACACCTTCTCCACACTCCTTCCTTCCTCCAGGGCTTAACCTTACTCCCAATTCTCTACTTCCTTCCGCTAGCAATACAGGGGAACAGGAATGGGCGTTACGGTCAGTTCGTCACCTGTTGTCTCGGACACTCTTTCCTCCTTAGGGGTAAGAATACTTCCCCTGCTCCCAGGAGAAACAGCTTTCCACAGATTATTCCCCCAGGCTGCAGTTCACAACATGTGGATGGATCCCTTTCATGGGATGCAGTTCTTCAGGAACAGGCTGCTCCAGCGTGGGACCCTCATGGAGTCACAAATCCTGGCAGAAAACTCCTCCAGCATGGCCTCCTCTCTCCATGGGACCACAGGTCCTGCCAGGAGCTTGCTTTGCCATGGGCTTCCCACAGTTTCACAGCCTCCGGGCATCCATGTGCTCCAGCGTAGGCTGCAGATGGATCTCTGCTCCACTATAGACCTCCATGGACTGCAGGGGCACGGCTGCCTCATCATAGTCTTCACCCCGAGCTGCAGGAGAATCTCTGCTCCAGCATCTGGAGAACCTTCTCCCTCTCCTTCTTCGCTGACCTTTGTGTCTGCAGAGCTGTCCTCTCACATATTCTCACTCCTCTGGCTGCAATTTGCTTCTGCCCAATAACTTTTCTTCCCTTCTAAACATGTCACCCCAGAGGTGCTACCACTGTGGGTGATGGGCTCAGCCTTGGCCAGCGGTGGGTCTATCTTGGAGCCATCTGGCATTTGCTCAGTCAGACACAGGGGAAGCTTCTGATAACTTCTCACACAACTTACCCCTGTAGCTCCTCCCCTACCAAAACCTGGCCACACAAACCCAACACAAATATCAACTGGTCTTACTGCTACAAGGGATCAGTTGCAGAGGGAGAAAAGCCTACAGGGTAAGGACAGTAGTAAGCAAAAAAGAAGTAATGTTTGAGGCAAACCATTTATCTTTTGCACCAATGTCCCAGCTTCACTTCAGCTGATCTAGTGAGCAGTGACATTGTCGAAAGCCCAGCCTACAGATAAAGAATCTTTTACAAGTAATGCCACTGGTTAAAATAAACTCCAGGCATTGTAGTTAACAGCTGTGTTAATCTCTTTCTGCATCACTGCTCCTGATATAAACCAAATATCATACAGAGATAGCCTAGACTAATTATTGCTAATGATCTGAGCTGTTTGTCTGACTCTAGTTATAACATATTGGTGTTACAGTGAGATGGAACTAGTAACAGATTAGTTTAATTACACCATTTTAACCTTTAAGAGATACATTTTACTTTCTTAAGAAAGTATTATTGGAGCAAGAAAAATAATTATTGCAGTGCGAAAATAGGAACTGAGTTTATTTCATTATTAAGGGATTTACTTTAGAAAGAAATACTGTGTTTAAAAAAAGTTTCCTTTGAAAATAAAAAAGGAGCCTATTGCTTCAAGTTCAACACTACATTCTGTGTAGGAAAACTGCCTGTTTCCTTCTAATAGGAAAATTCTATAGCCTTAGTTAGTTACTTAGTAGAACATGTTCAACACTTTACAGCACCTTGTAAGTAAAAATGAATCTTGCACACATGAAATTGCAGGCTTCAAGCATGTTTATTGTTTACTCATTTTTCTGGCACTCCATTCTCTGTATTACCATAAAAAATATATAAGGATGCATAAAGTCCCAGCTATCTCTTGTTTTTCACAAATAAGAAATGACTGATGAAAAAGCAAGGAGGCTTCAGACACAGAGCCAAACATGGAAGTGATGAATAAAGTAAATTTGTTCAGAGAACAGCTTTGCATCACATGTAGAATCAGAGGTATTCTGACTGCAGTTCATAAAGTCACTATTTTGCATGGTGTAAATCAAGATATTTTTCCACATGACTTCATTGTTTCACCATTGTGGGAAAGCCCCTTTAACTAACAGTTTCCAGATTATCCTGCCTGTGTTTTTATCAGGAATAGCAACTCTCCACTAGGCTGAGGAGTGTATACATGCATACCACTTTTCTGCCTGGAGGGTGGCCGATTCTGCTTGCTCTTCAACTCACTTCCAACTTTTTTTTGCGTTTAGTCAACGTAAAGACCTGATGCTGGACAGAGCTTGCAGAACCAAAATAAGCTGAATATTTGCATCAACCCTGTTGGTTGATACACTCAACTGTAATCACATATTTGGACCAAGATCAGAAAAAAAAAAAAAGCCAACAAAAATCTGCTCCAGAAGGGACAATGTCAATAAGAACAAAATAGATTTGTCCTTGTTCCATAATGGGCAGGCCTTATCCAACCCAAGGGGCAGCAACTTTCCCTTGTACTCATAGAACAAGGGCTGCAACATTCAGCTGTAGGATATTAGTCATTTCCTCACATAAATTTCAACAAGAGAGTAAAGAGTACAGCAAAAGATTCAACATCCATGCATGTCGTGAGTGTTGACCGGGGCTTAAAGGAGGAAGCAGAAGCACAGTATTGTGGCCTGAGGCAATCACTCTACATCTTATTGATGTGTCTTTATCAATCATCCCATGTTTATGGATGTCTTTGTCTCTTTGCACCTTTTATTAGAATTGATAGTTGGAGTAAACCAAGTAACATAGAGCTGATGAGGAAAAAAAAATGAGACATGGCAAAATGGAGAAGGTGCAGACAAATACAGAGTTGGGATACAATCTGGGGTTACAAAACTAAAAAAGCATCAGAAGAAAAAAATTATTTGGGTATAAAAATGTGAGGAGCTTCAAAAGAAGATGCAGGCTGTAGAGGAGCATATTGACAACATCCTAGCTGTCTCTTTTAAGATGAGGTGTTGTCTTTAACATAAATGCAAAGAAAGAACATGCAGCAAGAACTAACTATGGAAAACAAGGGAAGTCTAATAAATGCAACTTCTAGGCAGGGACTCATGCAGGAAATGGGTGTGATGAAGAATTAGAATAGGAAATGTGACAGATAAGAGAATTGAGACCTTGTTTCCAGTATGAATTGTTTAGAAATAGGAGGGGTTGCCTTCTGAATTTTCATGGCTTGAATTTGTCATATGCCGTATTAGAGAATTTTTTCCAGCAAGTAACCATAGTTCTGTCCTGTAGCATACACCATTAGGAAAGGGTATCCATTTTGATTAGTTCAAAGCTAGTTTATTTTTCTCAATATAAGATTCCCCCAAATTACTTTTTTATATTTTGCTTGTGGACTGCTCATCATAACTGTGACTGATGAATGGAGAAAAAAAAAAAGAGAGATTTCTCTAATCTGAGGAAAGGCAATTGTGTCTAGGAGAAATAACTCAGAAGAATTCATTATAGTACAAAATTACCTACATATTTCAGCTGAGATTAGTGTCCTCCTGAGTAACATGCTATTTGCATAGTTGACCTGCAGGTTAGACCTGCTCAGACAGTAGCATGTTTGTGCACTTTACATTACCAAAACACTTTCTAAGTTTTACAGTTATGAATCAGCATTCACATACTTTACTTTTTCCTCATCCCTGACCCATTTCAAGTTTGTATATACTTTTGCCTGGCTCATACAATGGGGAGAGCCATAATATTCCAAATGGCATGCAACAATTGCAGATTTCACAGGCACACAAACACACAGAGGTCTCCATATACTTGTGAGATTGGAGTGCAGCCCTTGGTACGGTGTTTGCATTAGTAAAACACTGTAAATATTCCTGAATTGATATGCATTTAAAGCTTGCTAAGACAGTTGTTATCAAGGGTGTAATTTCTATTGACACCTTTGGGAGTTTTAAGTCCAGACAAGGGCTGAAAGATCAGCCTCTAGTCTGCATTTTCTTGCTGTGTATCTTACCAACAGCTGAAACTTTGCAAGGACTTTTGTTTTCAGCTGCAGATATAAATGTATGTGCATAGGTCATTTGATAAGGCACAAACTGATTAAACCTTAAAAATATATCCAAGCTACTTGAAAATAAGACCAACAGAATTTTGGTAAGAGATTTGCCTTAATTGGAAAGGCTTAAAATAAATGATCATATGATTAAAAAAAGCAAGGATTGCCTGCTATTTGTTGTAACCCCTATTTCTGTAGTGCCCCTGTAGCCAGAGAAGCAGCTGTTCATTGCTGACATTCTCCCTGCCAGGCATTCCAACTCTCTGAGGTAATGGGCTACAAGCATACGGGCCTTCGCTTTAATTCTTTCAGCGTATCCTTCCGCATGGATAGAGCGAGGGGAACGCCTCCAGGAAAAGAAATTAAATGCACACACACAGAGGCACACAGGGACGGGCGATTTGAAAATATTCCTGAGAACGCAATTTGCGCTCATGCGGCACAGCGTCACATGAAAGAGGCCGCCTGAAGAGCTGGCTGGCACAGGTTTATTTTGTTGTAATATTTTCTTCCACCCCCCAGCTCTTTACCCAGTGGAATGATATCCAGAGCAAGTTTTTTGAGACAGGAAGTGAGGAATGTTTTCACTATGAGTGATCTGAGAAGAAGGTGGGTTAGCCGAGATAGCAGCTGTTTCGGACAAGAGGAACACAGTAAGTCAGTTCCCGAGGAATACAGATGAGATGGCTCTGGGAGAAAAAGTCTTGGAGCACTGAGGGCTTTTTTCAGCTACACGTATGTGAAAGGAGACTCGGTGTCTTTGGATCGCTCTACAAGGTAAGGGGAAAACAGCAGGCAGAGTGAAAACATAGCGGCTGAACTTCTCTGCTGTGTAGTGTAAGGGTGAGGAGTTTCAAGCGTTTACTTTTTGAAAATTAAAGGCGGTGGGACTGTGCTTCTGGAGGTAGGGGAGGTTTGAGATACGCACTTATTGCTGCTCTCTCAGTCCAAGAGTCATGTCAAAGATTAACTGGTAAAACAAGGGGAGAGTGGAGTATTCTGATTATTTTTTCTGGCTCCCCAAATATTTCTGAAATAAATATATGTACTTCAAGCCTTTGAAATAATAGGAACCCTTTTTCACCATCATATACTGCAGTTTTATTTTGATTACTGTCATTCATGCAGGCCGTTAAAAAAATCTTTGTAAAGTAAAATACTAATAATTGAGGGAGTGGGGAGTGCAGGCAAAAGAGAAAGTGTTCAGTAATCACACATCCCTCATGGCCATGTTGCTGAAATTCTAATATGGCATTTTTGAAACTACAGGATTCTGTTAAAATATACAAACTTTGGTCACTAACAACATTTTTAGCTGTTGCATGAAAATTCCAGGCTTGGTAAATAAAGACCTGTTACTGTAAAGGTCATTAGTTGGATTTGTAACTCCTGGCAGTATGTAGTTCATTTTTGCTAAAGGAGCTTTAAAACAATGCAGATGTGTCTGAATTTAAAGTAATGCAGAAGGCAAATATGAGACCACCTAGCACCGCAGAATGTTCAGCTGCTGAATAAAACCAGCACAGCTGTGTTTGCAGGAACTACACATGGCTAGCAGTAGAAGATACTGAATGATAGCTCAGTGTTATTCATCAAACTTGCCTTTATTCTACAGTATTTATTATATGTCAGGAGTCTTTTCTTTTAGTTGGTCCTTTGTGACGTGGTCTGGAAGTTAATTACTTAAGTTTTCCTTGTTATAAATGTATTTCAGAAGTCATGAAGATTATGTCAGACATGTACTGAGTTAAAATGAAATCATTTAGGGAAAATGCTCAGTGGACCAATAAATGCAAACAAGGGATCTTAACGTGAAGAATGCTCCTGGCTGGCATGTTCTGAAAATTCTGCTCTAAACTTCTTCCTATGCTGGCATTGTTACCTGTCTGCATAGAGAAATAACTGAAAGTCTGAGAGTTCCTCATGTCAGCATTAGATGGTTTGAAAATTTCACCTGTCTGGTTGGCCTTTGTTTAATGATTTTTTTTTGTTTGTTTGTTTCCATGCCCTTAGAATACTTTCTTAAGGGCCTGATATGGGCACAAAAGTTTGAAAGTCTTTCGTATTCAGTGGTACTACATAAAACCTGAGATTTAACAGCACTGCATTTCTAACTGCAGCTTTCAAAGAGAGGAGTAAGTTGGTTTTCCTCATTGCTGTAGCGCTAAAGAAAGTGCGTAACTGTGCAAAGAATGTATTGGAAAATGGGGGGTGGAAGCTTGGGGACATGGGCTGAGGTCAATCAGCCAGAAGCTACTCTAACAGGACTAACCCAGTGAGAGATTCTGCTGGCAGTGGGCAGGGGACTAAAAGCTTCTGTCTGTAGAGCATTCCCTTCATGCTGCTCAAGCAGGGCTGGATTTGGAAGATCAAAGTGCAGAGCAAGTAATAAAGTTAGGATTCCCTGTATATCCCTGTATTTTTCAGGGAAACCTGTTATCCATTGTTATGGATATCCTCTACAGCTGCACCCAAAAATAAATTAGTTGGCATTTGGGTCAGGGTTTTTTTCTTATTCAGGTAAGATTTTAAGTGGTATCTGTTGAGGATAGGGATTGTGTAGGACGGTAGAGCTGCTTCCAGATTATAAGAAACGTGGTCATGAAATATGCTTCTGGTCATTCTTTGGAGTAGAGTTGCAAAGATGTCATTAGGGAAAAATGCCACGCTGCCTCCTCTTTCTCCCCATTTAAGGTCTTTAGTGTCTTTCTGCCTCCCTTTCTTCTTTGCTGTGCTGCTTGCAAGGGAATAGGGAGGCTGATACAAGGTTTTCAGCCTAAAGGGTTTGAGGTTGTGTTGGATAACAGCATTAAGTTTCTAGGTAGGCGTATAAAGGTCCAAGCAGTATGTGGCATCTGTTTGTTTATAGCTATACCTTTGAGTTTAAAAACAGGTGTGATAGGAAGACTACTTCTTCCGGTTCGCCCGTTCCAAAGAAATGGGTATCCTCGTGTTGCTCCTGTCTGGTCATCCTAAGAGTCCTGGGAAATTGAATTACACCTTTTAATAGGTGCTACTAATACATACCAGCCTAAAAAAAAAAAAAAAAGTAGGCTGCTGTTTTCTTTCCGTTTTCAGGCGGGGCGACGCTGCCACTAGAGGTCCGCGGGCAGAGACGAGAGAAAGGAGCGTGGCTTTATCCCAGGCAGCAATGCCTGGCACACGGGCATGGCCCACGTTGCTACTGCAGTCCTGCTCTGCCTCACACAGCCCCAGGTTGGAGCAGCCTGGTCCAGTGAATGGAATCCCTGCCCGTGACAGGGGGGTTGGAACTAGATGATCTTTAAGGTCCATTCAAACCCAAACCTTTCCATGATTCTATGACAAATTTCTTAGATCAGGGTGCACTCAGTAAGAAAACACTTGCAAAAGGAGAAAGGCAAAGCTTGGGATGGAGTTGACAGGAGAAGAGGCGTAAAGGTGTTTGGAAAAGGTGGGGAAATGGGTGGCTACCTTTAGCCTGGGAATGAGTATGTTTTTCAAGGAAAAATTAGAAAATAAATGGTTCTCAGAATTCATGTACTCTTTTGGTGAAGCAAAGCATAACCTGAAGCATTATACAGAAGTTTAGCATGAGGAATAATGGCACAGCTAGCTGTAGTTCAGGGAAAATTAGAGGAATTACATTTTAATTGTCTGGTAGGAAATGGCTAAGGTGTGAGCTTTAATGCCTCCCTGCCTTTCTTTTTTCCCCCATAATCTTTTATGGGGCTTGGTTTTGCATTTAATCCACCAACAGATAGTGGCTGAGCTGTATGATGCTCTGAAAAACAAGCCAGAGTGCTGGATTTGCTTGTAGAGAAAGTGGCTTTTTCAGTATTAGAAATACCTTAGGCAACTTGGACTTCGTAGAAGTCCTTCATTTAAATACCGATTCAGTTTATACATACTTATTTTAAGATATTGCAGCCACATTTGACTAAGATTCATTATTCGCTTGTGAGTTTAAAAAAAAAAGAAATCAACTCGCCAAAAACCAGTGTCATCTGTGGGAAAACCAGAAACTCCGGTACTTATTTCATTATTTGAATACATAACAGCTCTGCATTTTGGAAAAGTAGACTGGTTATTTAGATTTAGAAAAAATATACATGTTATTTTTCCCATGTTACCATTCCCCTTTCAGTCAAAGTATTTCTGATTCTTGTATTTATTCTCTTTCTCTTTTGCTCCGTACTAGGATTCCAGTGGATGTCTCTTCTGCTTGTTTCTTGGTGGAAAACTTGCTTGTCTTTAATGGATACTGCTGCTGCTGGTTGATCTCTGGAGACTTTACAGCTTCTTACCTGTTGAGAGGAGACAACTTCCCGTCCCCTCTCAAGGTCCCGGTGGTAGTAGCTCTTTAACAGTAGCCATCCGTGGGGGAAAAAGAAGATGCCTCTACCTTTTGGGTTAAAATTGAAACGAACTCGACGTTACACAGTATCCAGCAAGAGCTGCTTGGTGGCTCGTATCCAGCTGCTCAACAATGAATTTGTGGAGTTCACGCTGTCAGTGGAAAGCACGGGCCAGGAAAGTCTGGAAGCAGTGGCTCAGAGGCTTGAATTGCGGGAGGTAAGTGAACTCTCGAACAAAAGATATCTCTCTTGTGAGAGATATCCTGTGTGGTAAATCCTTACCATGTAGGGCAATCAGCTTATTTACTGGAGCAGCTATCCTGTGTTCCCATTGTTTATTCATCTTCTGTTCTTTATGGGGGCTTGGATTGCTCCAAAACAGTTGCAAACTGATGTTAAAGCTTCGGGAATGTCCAAGGGGAGAACACGTGAGAAGTGTCGGTGGATAAAGCTTAACGGTGATAAACAAAGCAACTGTTTTTTAAACCTGACAATACTGAGAATTCTGTTTAAAAAAAACCCAAAAAGCAAGAAAAAATTCTACCTAAACCACATGGTTAAGAATTACTGCAAGACTTGAGTCAACTTTTAGCTAGGGATATGAGTGTTATTTGTGTGCATGTATTTTTTTTCTGATGGATTAGTGCTGTGAAAGCACAAAATGTTATAAGTGTACCAGTGACCAATTATTTGTCTTGCTTGTTGAAATACCACAAACGTGTTTGCAGACACTGTCTTGGAGCACGCATGTAGACATACAGATTGTGTTCTGGCTTCATGAGGAAATCTGTTTTGCACTAGATAAATCTGTATATATCTGTTCCATCTGACTTTTTCCCAAAAAATTCCTTACCTGATAATTTGAAGGATCCTTTTGCAACTGAAATTTGCTCTTCCTCACATTTAGTGATTATTCAAATATCTCCTGTATTGAGTGATTCCCTTCTGAAATACAGAGCTGCAAGATGTTTATAGAAATCTGCATAGATTACCAATATATGAACCAATGCTTTATAGTGTTAAACACCAGTTGTTTCATTGCAGTATTTGAAGGCTCTCGGTCCTGGATGAATTGACATTTCCCCTTAGAGTCTCAAAAGGTTTAGTTCATTTTCATTGAATTGTGACAGCATGTGCAATTCTGGGGAATTAGGAGGGAGAAAACTAATAATGAAAGTTTAGTGTTGCTAACATTGTTCTGAAAAATATGCTTCTGTCCTGTTATGTGGTCCGCCATAGAATTGTGTTTTGATTATGGGTTTCAAATACAGGATGAAAACCATGGACTTAGGTAATGAAAATATGAGTAATTGTGAAAATAATTGAGTAATAATAAATGTTTGCATTTATAACTATGATCTTTTAAAATGTTGTCTTTTTATTGTCAAGCAATGGCAACTGTTTGTAACTTTGCTCAAATCCTGAGCAAATATATTTAGGACTCAATCCTGCAAACATTTATTATTTTACACAGCATGCATTACTGTAGGATCCTCAATAGGAAATGCTATATGTAGTCATTTGTTTTCAGAAATACTTTTCCTTTTTTCTGTCTGGAGAATTGTATATGAGTGAAATAGATGTGAATCCATTAATCTCTAAGTGCTTGCTTTATGTGCACTTGTTTTCAGATGCATTCTTGTAGAGTCTCCGAATACTTTTTTCGTGTACAGTTATTTTGGAAAATTCAGTTCTCTGCAACAGTATGACTTTTTTAAAAAAATCTTTCTCCTTCTGACAAAGGGAGAATCTAACTACTCTTGTTTACTTAGAACACATCAGATACCATATATTTAGAATTCAGTTACCATTGTGTGAATAGAGTCTGTTGATTTTATTGATCAACTTTCCGATGTAATTTCTAAGTCAACAGAAAATGTAGAATTTTTACTGTATTTAGGCTGCAAAACGTAAATGCTTTGTCTTCCTGAATGATGACTGCCAGCTTTTATTGAACTAGTCACAGATCATTGGAGAGGCATGTTTTCTTCAGCTATTCTTCATTATCTCTTTCTTTGAAGTCACTCCTAAAAATCTGTTTAAAAAAAAAAAAGAGAGAGCAAAAGATGCAATTCCCTCAATTAAGAGCCATATATCAGACTAAGGGAGTTGACAGTACACTACTGAATTCTGAGCAGATTCCTTCAGCCATGCATTCTTGCATGGATTATTTTGGCGGGAAAATGTGTTGCAATTAAAGAGAATGGAAAATAGGGATATAAATTACTTTCCAGAGCTTGCATTCAAAAAATGTTCTTCTGCCTTTAAAGAGTCAGATTTGCCAAGCAGATACTGAATCATTCCTGACTACTTGTTTAGTAGAAAGTTTTCAGAAAGAAAAATTGGTTCAGCACTTTTCTTAAAGCTGCAAGGACAACTTTAGTCCTTGATACTGTAAAATACAAAGGATTTTCCATAAGATGTTACACATTTTTAATGTACAGAGCACCCTCGAAGCACGAGTGTGAATTCTAAGTGTTAAACATGAAAGTATGAGTGTTTGTTTGAATGCTGAGACTCGGTGTCATTCTGAAATACAAGGTCAGTCTTGGATTACTGTATATGGCCTACACAGTTAGGACAGGCGGTTCCCATGCATCTTCCAAACAGTTTATTGCACGAGGCATGAGGGGAACCTCTACCTTTTTTTACACATTCAGTGGTAACATTTGTAAATGCCTCTTTCTTTCTGGTGGAGTCTGAAATTACTGAATTTGGACAGTGAACCGAACAGCTTATTTTTAATGGTGTGCTGTCTTTTAAGATATTTGTTTTAACAGATCTTTATGTAAATTAATAGTCTTGAAATTATTCTTTGTGTGACTAAACACTATTTTTCTTTCAATTTTCCAATTGGTACTGCTCAATTTTCAAGTTGTATATTAGTAAGGACACATAGAGTTTAGGCAGTTTTTATGTATGTTGACAATTTAATTTTTTTACTGAATGGTAAACTTCATAGAAAAGTGAAATGAATGCATTAAACTAAAAAGACTATTTTCTGGTATTCTCAGAATGTGACTCATCAGCAATGGGTATGTAATCCAACTCTCTTAAACTGAGGAACTGGGGAAAGAAGCCAAAGGGAACAGTGAACATAAGTTACTTACCCTTTGTAGCACAGTCTGTCTTTCATCCTATGAGGGTACTACAACCAAACTTGATTTATGCAAAAAGCTGTCACAGAATACCATTCTGAAACTACAAGTTTTTAGAAACTGCTGAGAGCTCTGATTGTTAACCACCTCACAAAGCGTGTGCAACACTGCTCATCTTACATCTAGGGCAAGAGTATACAAATAAAATCCTTGAAAATATAGAGATTTAAAAAAAAATTATAATATAGCTAGATATCTCTGAAGTGTTTGGCAGGAGGTGCTGTAACTGGTTTCTCTCTCTTGTTGAATTTTCTTTTTTTTCTGTTTACTAATAACACTTCTAAACAAGCAAGAAGGGGCAAATTCTGCTCCTGTGTACAAGCAGAGTTTGACTTAACTGCAGATATGTGGTAGAGTACAAGAACCAATGGTAGAGAACTTCTGGGAAGAGTTTGTGCTGTGCATATGCAAGTTCCTGTGTTTGTTTTGGACATGAATAGGAAAAGGAACCAAGGTTGTCCGGATCCTGAATGACTTCGAAGTTCTGGAGTAGTGCTTCAGAAATGCTTGAACTACGCTGTAAAATGTTGTTCTGAATTCTAAAATATCAGCTCTTTTTTTGGAGAAAATACACACACAGAAAAGTTTTTCATTCATTTGGTGATTTCTTTAATCTGTTTTTCATATGAAAAGAGTGTATTTAAAATAAGACCAAGTGCAACCATAAATATTCTTACATCTAAATGTATCATTAACCATATTGACTGGCAAATAAAAGTTGGGCCAAGTATGACAGAGGGATTACTGACATAATTATGTTTATGCCTTGTGTCAGAGTCTGACAAATTTGTAGCTGATGCTTGGAGAAATACAAGGAGAGGCAGTGCTCATAGTTGAACTGCTGTGGTTGCCTCTCTGAACCAAATTTTCCTTAAAATTAGGAAAGGAGAAATTGTCATGGAGGAATGTATATAAAAATGCAGACCTTCAGTGTGTAATCTGATTAGTTTAAAAATGCTAAGTTTGAAAGCAAACTTGACTCTATCTAAAACATATATTAAGTGTGCTATAATTATAATGTGGGAACCAAGATAAACTGAAGTACAGGGTTACTTGAAATCACTGTTTCAGTTCTTTCTTTTTCTTAACAAAAAAAGATATACATTCAGATAAAGGATTTGCAGATAAAGTCTTATTATACTGAGCAGCACAAAATTAAAGTTTTTCCATGAAAACAATAGTGGCAATTAGAAAGCCTTGCCTTTGGTTTCTTTAGCTTTTTTATAAAGTTAGGGCAGAATTTGAATATACCACTTAATTGTATTTTTTTCACTGGGAATTGCAGTACAGTTTTATACTATCTTTGACAGAATAGATTTTCTTTACTTCTGAAGGAAAGGCACTAGTTTATTGTTTAGTATTATTAGACTGCTTTAGAATTTGGATTTTGCCTTTTGTAAAGCAATCAAAATTTAAGCATCTTAGGATGGTGATTCCTCAGGTCACTGTACCCTCAAGGCAGGTAGGTGAATACATTAATTAAAAGGCACTGTATAGCAAATGATTCTCTTTTCCAGTCTATTTGTATCCTACAAGATATTTTGTGACATTTATAATATAGGATATGAAATTAACTGGGAAATATTTTATTAAATACATAAGTTCAAAGTAAACTCTGAACACTGTTATGCCTCAGGGGACCTCTGAGGGTTGCTGGTCCCACCCTCTGCTCAGGAGGGCTGGCTTGGATCAGATGGTTCAGGGTTTGCCTGGGTGAATTTATGTGCCTCCAAGGATAGAGATTTGACACCTCTTTGGGCTATCTGTTCCAGTGTTTGGCTAGTCTTGTTGTGAAATTTTTTTCCTGATCTAACTGGAATTTCCCACGTTACAGCTTGTCCCCGGTGCTTCTCATACTTGCAGTGATTACTTACAAGAAGACTCTGGCTCTATCTTCTCTTAGGCAATTGAAGTCCACAGTAAGATGTTACTTTAGTCTCCTCTTAAGACTGATCAGCCCTGCTTCACTGAGTCTCATTGTACATCATGCCAAAAGATTTAACAGAATCACCTACAGTAATGTAGTTTTATGGCACTCATACCTGATGAAACTCCTCTGCTTAGCTTAGGAAGTCTGGTGGACTTCAATCATAAAGTCACTCCACTCCCACCAACTTGTGAGATCACAGAATCACAGAATCATCTGGGTTGGAAGGGACCTTTGAGATTATCAAGTCCAACCCTTGATCCACTACCGCTGCGGTTACTAGACCATGGCACTAAGTGCCACATCCAGTCTCTTTTTAAAAATCTCCAGGGATGGAGAATCCACTACTTCCCTGGGCAGCCCATTCCAATGTCTGACCACCCTCTCTGTAAAGAAATTCTTTCTAATATCTAACCTAAACCTCCCCTGGCACAACTTGAGACCATTCCCTCTTGTCTTGCTGACAGTTGCCTGGGAGAAGAGACCAATCCCCACCTGGCTACAACCTCCTTGCTGGTAGTTGTAGAGAGTGATGAGGTCTCCCCTGAGCCTCCTCTTCTCCAGCCCCAGCTCCCTCAACCTCTCCTCATAGGACTTGTGCTTGAGTCCCTTCACCAGCCTGGTTGCTCTCCTCTGGACCTACTCCAGCACCTCAATGTCCTTCCTGAACTGAGGGGCCCAGAACTGGACACAGTACTCCAGGTGTGGCCTCACCAGTGCTGAGTCCAGGGGAAGAATCACTTCCCTGGACCTGCTGGCCACACTGTTCCTGATGCAATACTGTGTTGGGCTTTTGATACTTTTGTGTTCTTCATAGCTCCTGAACTTTTATGCAAAAATATTTACTATTCCTGTTGCTAGTGTCAGAAAGCAAATAGGTAGAAAATAACTGTGCAGAAATTATATGTTCTTTTTATTTCTATTTGATTTTCTTTAGAGGGGTTGGGTCATGAATAAGTCACTAAAATAAACAAACCTCAAAGTAGTCTTAATCTTAACAGCTTAACATATTTTAAGAATTATGTCATGCCATTCTTTTTAGTATTGGATGTTGTCCTGAGCTGCTAATAATAAAATGTTTTAGCAATGAATAAAAGTGGATTCTATTTTAATCAGTGCGAATATTCCAGGGTGCATAAGCTCCTCTGAAAACTCACAGGATCAAATTCTGCCCTTGAAGTAAAGTGAAAGGTTTGCATAGAAGTCAGAAGACCAGCTTTCGTCCATAGTATTTTGGTTGGCTTGTTTAAAGATATGCTGGATTCCAGAGAGTATTTTAAAATGCGGAAACATTTTTGGTAGTCTGTTGTGCCAGTTACTACTCTGCTCTACATGTAGGCCAGAAAAAGCAGTCAGTGTTTCAAAGATACAGATCTGTTTAAGTGATCATCATGCCTTAAAAATTGCCTGTACCTTCAGTTTAGGTTCAGGGTGTAGAACCAGAAGTATCTTACAGCAGAGAGTTTCAAACAGCGGTGATGTTAATAGAAGTTTGTGTTCTTTTTCTCCTCACCTTTGTTATACATCTGTGCTTCTGGGAATTTTAAGTACACCAAGGCTGCAAATGAGTTATTCAAACAAATGTTACACATTTTTTTTGCATATTTTTAGTTGGTTTCCAAATGTGTTTGTGTGATATCCTTTATAGAAGTCTTTCAACTGTAGCTGTTACCCTTTGCTTTTGGTCTCTGCCATGGCCGCTGCCCTCACACAGAATGTTGCGGTTCCACATTTTAGATTGTGCTCAGCCCCAGGCTGATGTGGTTGACCTGTCAGATGAGTGGGCTGGGCCAGCACAGAAGGCTTTCTTTTTTCAAGCTCTTCTTAGCAAGTAAGATCAAGTAGCTCCTGGCATATAGTTCAACTTCAACTGTTGTTTTATTTTTTTGGTCCACTAATTTACTTACATTCATTGCATTGATAACCCTCAGAAGTTACAGAATGTCAGCATCACGTTCTGACTTTGGCTCCTGCAACTGAGTGTGTGATGTCAACAGTCTTGTAATGAAAAAGAAATACAACCTTTTACATGTGTTCCTTTCCTTACTCAGTCCACAGGAAGGATTGAGGCGTACTCAGTCATTTGGTACATTTTATTATTTTCTGCATGAGATGTTGCAGTGAACATAATATCTCTTTCATAATGGAGTTTCTGTGGTACTGCTGTTTGGTTTTTTTTCCTAACATCTTACAGAATCTTAAGATACTGTCTTCACAATATCGTTGTGGGATGGTGGAGGTTACCCCACACACTGTGCCTAATGGTTAGTGGATTGAAGAATAGAAATAAAAGCAAATGTTCCTTAAGGTATCAGTAAACTTTGTATGCCTGGACTGAGAAATTTAGAAATCAGCATTTATAGGATTTGTATTCAGAGCCATATTCCTTGGAATATTCCTGGAAACTCAGAGTATTTATGACTTCCTAAATTTGACTCTTGGCTTTCAGAATTCAGAATTGATGAGCACACAGCATCCGCCTGTGAAAAATTTGGTTTGTAGGGTTTGCTTTACAAGAGAACTCTGTTTCTGATGTGGGAGTAGTCTGGTTCTCCATGATGATTTTTAAACTTTCCCAGCCATGAAACTATTTTGTCTATATCAGCATGCTGCACTTTCTCCAAATATCTTACTCTATACTGAAAAAGCTACTTTTTTCTTATATGAACAGTGGTAATTCAATTTATTTTCTGTATTAAAGCATGTCTTTTTATCAGAGATGACCAGAGTTGTTTTAGAGTTTATAGAAGGAATCTTAAGACTAAATGGGCAGACTTCATCCTAACATATTTATTTTTTATCTTGTGAATACTAATTTTGCAGTTACACGGTAGCATTAATTTTAACTTAGAGGATTTTTTTTAAACATTGGGGGAAAAAAAACCCAGAACACTAAAAAAAACCCCACTAACAATCACACAGAACTGTGTTGATGCTAATTTAGAGAGAAGCAAAGAAGTATATTTTGCCAGTATGCAATGTCAAAGGAACATTAGAGTCTTAGAGTTGGCTCTAATTTCCTACTTCTTCTATTATCCCACAGATATTATGGAATAGAGGGTTGTATTAATTTAATGCTACACCTTGAGTTTTGTGCTCCAAATGACTTCATGATCTGTGCTGATATGGAACATTGACTCCATTGCTGTCCGTGAAGTTTGGGATGGAACATACCTGCCTGTGCTGTGGTTGTTGCACACATAGCCTGTCAGAGCTGTGAGGAGTAGCTGGAGTCCCATGAGGGTAGACTCTTCATCCTGTTTAGACTATAAACTAAGAAAATATATGGGCAAGAATTTGCAGAAATGTACTAAAGTGGCCTTTGTCTACTACCATCTGTTTGTTGCTCCCCAATGAGTTTCGAATCTGTGCTCCAAATTATCAAAATGCTAGACCTTCTGAGAAAACAACAGTAAATAGTTTTTTTGCTAGGTAGACAGTCTTTCCATGTCTAATTCACAGAAATTACTGATGAAAAGAAATCATTATGTTGAATATTCCTGTTTTATAAAACTTCATCCTTAGTAGCTTTCTTTTGTATGTTAAAAACATCTGAATATACATAAAAAAGTGTTGGATTAAAGGTGTTGGTATTTCTACCATTTCTACATATAATAAAGTATATGTAGCAAGGACTTGGAGAATTTCCATGTAAATGCCTACAGACATTGTTGGGAATTTGTAATATTCACTTATCTTCCTCCCTCAGTTAAAACACTTCTAATTATGATATCTAGTTTTACGTGATAATAATATGAATAGTTTCCAGTTCATGTCTGTTTGCTGGTCCAGAACTGAATGAAATAAGTACTGTGGGAGCAGATTTTAATCAGTTTAAACATAGTGGAGAAATTTAAATTTGAATGAGTGACTCTGGAGTGTGGATTTAGAACCATGTTGTGGAGCAATGGAGAAATATTCTGATCCAGACTCCTTCTCAGAGAGATCTAATCCAAGTTAGATTGTGGCAATCTAATCCATTTTAGATTGCTCAAGATGCTGTCCAGTGGCATTTTGACTTTCCAGGGGTGACACCCCTCAGCCTCTAGGGGTTGTCTGTTCCAGTGCAAACTGTGTTTTGTGTTTGGGCTTGGCAGGAGTTGCCCACTCAAGCTGCTCCTCTGTATCTGCTCATTTTCTTGCTCGTGGGGTGAACCATGCATATGCTTTAATGTGCTTGCCTTTGACTGACCAGCTGTCCTGTGCACTTTTGTCCTTCAGCATCCCATGTGAGCCTGCCTGCCTTTCCCCAGGGAAGCCCTGCTTTGCTCTCCTGCTGTCCAGTGCCAGTTTCTATTTGCCTTCCTCACTTCCCTTAGCTTTCCTGGCACACATGAATGCCTACTGCTAACATCTGTGAGTTGCCACAAAAGAGTTATGAACTGTTTGCAAGTAAAAAGTAAGTTTAGTATTGTTTTAGGTGGAGAACCTTATGTATGTGGGTTGGTTATCTGGAATTAGTGTCTGCTTTTGATCTTAAATGTCTCTGCAGTTCTCTGAAGTTTTCAATAACCCATAACCTTAGTGTTTTAAACCATTTATTTCTAGGTAGCGAGGCTTTCATACAATACATTTTATCTAATATCACAAAATTAACTTTTTTTCATCTCTGAAATGCCTCTTTCAGATTACGTATTTCAGCCTGTGGTATTATAATAAGCAGAATCAACGCAGATGGGTAGATTTGGACAAGCCTCTGAAAAAGCAGCTGGACAAATATGCCTTGGAGCCAACTGTGTATTTTGGAGTAGTGTTCTATGTGCCTACTGTTTCTCAGCTTCAGCAGGAGATTACCAGGTAAACTTCTTATATGTGTCTAAAAATTTGCTTCCAGCATTCTTAAATGTATGGTTTATTTAAAAGTTGTCTGCTTTCCACTCCCTCACCTTTATAGAAATGAAAATTACTTTAGGCAAAATTTATGTTCAAACTGTGTATTTATTTACCTTTGGAATATTTGGAATATGTGATAAATTAAGCAAACAACTATCTTTTTTGTGATCTTAGGAATCTGTTCAAACCTGTTTTAAGTAACAGGTATACTTGCATGGTCAGACTTTTAATTGTTTTAGTCTCTTTATGTTTGTCTCTTTTTTTTTTTTTGTTTGCTTTGAAGAGCCATATGTTGCTTTTGTGGACATCCATCCTGCACAAAGCAGGTGCAGATTTTATTGAGCTATGCTTTCTTTTGTTTTGCTTTCAGTACTTTCTGTGCTTTCAGTACAATCCACTGGCAAGCTACAGGCTAAGCTTCAGCTTGTGACTTTTTTTGTGTATCACTGAGCCATAAATACGGATGCTATTTCTGATATCATGTACACATTTCTACTGTGAAACTGGGGAACATCGTGTTATTGATGCTGACTACAGGGGGAAGAGTAAAATTGAGCATGTATACTGGCTAGTTATTCTTTTGAGCCTATATATTGGCTTCTAGTGGCTTAAAGTGTATAGTTGTTCTGATTTAATGATTATTTTTAATAGGCAAATGAGTACAAAACCAGTAACTGGATTACAAACATGTATTTGTTATTTAAGAAATATGTGCTTGCATTAATTAACCCATTTAAGCTGATAACTTCAAGTGGGCCTTGCTTTGAGTGGGGAGTTGAACCAGATGATCACTCAGAGGTCCTTTCCAGTTTAATTTATTCTGTGGTTACATGAAACTGTGTTTATATACTGTGTTGCTAAAATACGCTGCCAGACACCTTTCCTGCTAAATGTGGTGTGAAAGCTTTTCAGGGAGATAAGCCTCTTGGTGCAGACACTGCTGCTGTTATTTGTTGCTCAATGCTTGGCAGCTTTAGTGTTCAATGTGTAATTTCTGAAAGATTATCTTTTTCCTGAAAACTCCAGTTTTGTGCTGTTTCTCAGCAATTTTACTGGCTTAAAAATCTTTGATTCAGATTCTGTGTTTGTTGGTGTACTAGGATGCGTTAGAGTAAGATAAATGTCATGGTGTTGCATTGAATAGCTAAATTGCTTGAAAAAACTTGAATAGTCTTCTCTGGCATTTGTTTAAAGAATATGATGTTTATGCTGGAGCTTTAGCAACAATTTTGCAGTGTACTGCCAGGTAGAAAGCAGACATCTATGTGTCAACCTTATACTCGAGTCCTAGAGGATGGTGCTTGCTTTGATATATGACAGTAAGAATCTGAATTAATTTCAGAAATCTGTGGATTTTTTCATGCCTTTTCAATACAAATGAGATTGAGCATGTTTAAGCAACTTATATGTTTAGTACACCAGGAAATGGAAATGTCATAAATAAAAAGAGATGGTATTTGTGCTATTTCGAGGTAGTGTTAAGATTCTTCATCTGTATGTTTACTTTTAGTAGTGTTTCTGTGGAAAGGATTTACATTCCACTTCTTGACTGGGAAGACTTGTTTCCACAAATGCCTTGATATGTGGTGGCTTTTTCCTTTCTTTGTTTTTAAGGCCTGGGTTTAGTTTCAGCTGTTTTTCTGTGTATTGTGTAAGGATGTTATGTACTATTATATGGTGTACTGTTTTTTTATAGTAGGATCTCAAAGAGTCTAAACAATATTTATAAATTGTCACTGTATTTAACAGACCAGTAATTGGTGAGGGAAGAGAGCTATCAATTAATATAAATAAAATTTATGTGGCATTTACCAGAGCATTTCTAATCACTGAATGATTTATAGCACATACTTCCATGTTCTTAGTATTAAAGCCTTGCTCCACAAAAGTTGACATACAATATGAGGAAGTCAAGAAGTTTTTAAAACTAGAATTATAGAAGACAAATGTACCTCTTGGCCAAGTCTGTGTAGCTGTAATGGCAGTTTTGGGGTGTTTTGGGCTCAAGATAGGGAATTCTTTGGAAAGCTGAAAGGGGGAGAAGAATTCAGGAAAATAGTGGCTCAGACTGTGAACAAATGGTACAGCTAGCAGCAAGTTGCATGTACAAGAGGTGACATAGGGAAAGGTTAGATTAAAGGACAAAAATGGTGCCTTGAAAGTGAGAACAAAATGCACTCAGAAGTTGTAATGCAGAAATGAAAGTCACTATCAGGATTGAGAGGATGTGCAGTGCTAGATCTATTGGAAGAGAAGGCAGTAATACAGCAGCAGTTTACTGAACGTTGTTTAGAGACAATAATAGCAACATTAAGGGCGGAAGAGGTAAAAAATAAAAAAAATATGAGAGTATTGTGAAGATTATTTAAGATTACTGATTCTGGAATAATATGTGAAAGTTAAGGGAGGCAGGAGTTAACAAAGGCCTTGAAATAGTGGATCTGAATGATGAGGGTGACTACCCTCCACTCAAACTGGGAATGCAGAGAGGAATAGGAAATGCAGGCATATTAATCTGCTCTCTCTTTAAATTAAGAAGCCCATGTTAGCTTTTTCTTTTTTTTTTTTTTTTTTCATGTAGGTATCAGTATTATCTGCAATTAAAGAAAGATATCTTGGAGGGCAACATTCCTTGCACACTGGAACAAGCAATACATCTGGCTGGTTTGGCTGTTCAGGGTAAGTAAGGAATTGTGCCAACTAGCTAATGTTGCATCAGAAACTTTGATATTTTCTATTGCATATTTTCTGTTTATCACTCAAAGACCCAAGTTGATAAGCTATGAAAGGTTTGTTCCTTAGAATGTCATCATATGGGCTGAGGAAAGGGAACACTTGCACCAGTTGCCCCGAACTTGGTATTTCTGTGCAGTCCTCAAAGCTGTACCTGGGTATCTAATATGTACTTTCAGGAGCTGGATTTGAATTAGGCATTGGAGTTCCTTTGGGGGCAAAGGCTTTAGATGTCTGCTTACATCAGCAGACCCTTCTTCTGTTTCTGTTAATGAAGACTCTTTGTTCTGACATAGTAACAAGAGAAGAGACGTGTTCACAAATAAGTAAATTTGAATGTACAGTTGTACTTGTATCTCCGCTTTATCTCCCAAATATCCTAACACATAAGAATATTTCAAGCTAGTATGCAAGACTGTTAGCAATTCCTGTGTTGAAATCATTCCCGAAAACACATTTCTGTGATATCTACATGAAAGTGGCAGCTTTATTTTTCCTAACTAGGGTCAGATGGAACAGAGTATACATGAGGACTAAGTCTGTCTGCACTGACCATGTCTGGTATTTCCTGCTAACATGCTTGTTTGATATTAAATATCTCCAAAGTTTTCAACAGCAACAGCTTTGTTTAGTGTGTTTGTGTATTATTATTTGTGTATCATTCACAGTGAATGCCACTTCAGTATATCTAACAGCAGTTGTAAATCTGCCAAAATTGAAAGAAACTTAAAATCATTGGCAGAATATACAACCAAGGATTTTTTTTTGTATTTTTTTTTAGTTATATATATGTATTGGTTGTATCACAATAAAGACAATGATTAAGTTTCTTGAAAATGTAGTTTCCAGTGGAGTAGGATGAATTATATTAGTGCCTTGTTTGTATAACAGTGAATGTTAATTCCAAGCCAGGTTTTAATGGTCTTCAACTGAAAAATCTTGCTTTGTTATTTTCATATCTTTGGACAGTGTAAATGTCCCTCTGCTCAGTGGGTTGTTTATAGAAATCTTTCAATATAATCCTCATCCAGATGGAAAGTATTTATCCTTTTAGCTTTCACCTTCCTTTTTCAGTCTTGTGTAAGAGATAAACTGTACGTGTTGATAACACAGTGAAAAAACAACTCAGAAAAATTGTAGGTCATAAATTAATGTGCTCTGATGAGTGAAGTAGCTTATACCAGGTAGGTTAGTTAATTTTAGCTGGTGAGTGAACAGAAGCAGTATTTGCAGTTCCAAGTGAACTGTTTTCAAGAATGATCTGTATTTGAATGATTACAATAGGCTACTTCTAAACACTGCTTTACCTCAAGAGCTATGTTGGTATAGGATATCTCAAGTGCTGCCCTTTCATCATAAATAACTTGCATATTAACTGTTAATGTTTAATACAAAGTTGGTTCCTAAATGTCTCTAAAATGATACTAATATAGATGAGAATTTGTGGTATTGTAAATAGGATCTGTATACTCAGGGATTGTATTTATACTTTTGGGAGCAGCCTTTCCATGCAGATTGCTGTTCCACAACAGATTGCTGTTTCCTCTGAGGCTGGTACAGAACTTTTCCAATTTAGACTGTTTTCTTTGAAATGTTAGCTAGTTTTTTTCCTGGAAACAGAAAAAGGGGGAGATTTCTTGGGATGCTCTTTGTCATGACATAAACTGTTAAGTGCTTTCTGAGCATACCCCTGAGTCTGGGAAGGCTTCTAGCTCCCAGTTTCTGCATGTCTGGGTGCAAGGAGCTGTAGAAGTCTTGTAAGCCAAAGGATGCTCCAGCTGCTCTGTGCAGTGTTTGAGTAAAGATGCAAGTTAGAGCTGTCATTGGTGCTGTACTGCAAGTGTCTGACAGGAGGGAGTAAAGAAGATAGAGCCAGAATATTAAAAACTTGCCTGGAGAAAGCTCTGAGACAATCTGCTGTAGCTGACCCTGCTTAGAGCTGGATCTCTGGAGGCCCCTTCTAACCTCAACCATTCTGTGATTAAGAATCAAACTATTTAAACCTCAAAGTACTATGGAACTTGGATTCTGATGGTTTTATAATTTCTTCTTCTTCTCTAGCCACAAGGAGTTTTATCAATTTTTATGAACAATGTAAAAAGATGGGATGTGTTTTTACCTTTCCTCTTCTTAAACACTACTGGTTAGTTTATTCCACTGCTTTACTTCCAGATCACAGTTCAATAGGATGGAGAGATTCCCTTCTTGGAGATCCTGCTACAACTAAATTGGGTATTAAATAATTCTGTTAAAAATGTTTGACTCCAAAATTTTTTTTATTTTTTTAGCTGATTTTGGAGACTATGATCAGTATGAATCCCAGGACTTTCTACAAAGATTTGCTTTGTTTCCAGTGGTAAGTACTCACTTTAATTTGATACATTTAAATTCTTAAATTGAAAAATTTAAATTTAAAACTTTCTTAAAATCGGTAAAAGCAAATCATTATTATTAAGACTCCATGATCCATCCAGCTTACTGCTCCCTAGGTCATCAAATTCAGTAAAGGTTTTCTTTGAGATTGGAGTGAGATATCACACCTTATATTACACAGAAGTAAAGATGTTGCAGGACCGTTTCAATTTTATTGTGTATTACACTGAAAAGAAGGTCGGGGTGTAGATGGAAAAGTGAGTAAAACCACTTCAGAACAATGTTTGTGCTTTCTGGGTTTATTTGTGTGCATATTGCAGCACCTAATCTTCAACACTAGAGTGGAGAGTTGATTCACCTGTGTAAGGAAACTATAACCATTTAATTTTGTAGAATTTCTTTTGTATTTCATTGCATAAATGCTCTCTTACCTTAAGGGTTGGCTACAAGAAGAAAAAATATTGGAAGAAGCAACACAGAAAGTTGCCTTGCTACATCAGAAGTACAGGTAACATGTCTAAAACTCTTTATTGCCAAATTTTGATCTTCAGTAGCTCAAAATGTTGTGAATCTCAGAAGACAGTGGGACTAATTTCACCTCTTATGTAAATGAGTTTTTCTCTAATACATCTCCATCAAAGTTACAAGATTTCCCGCTGAATGGAAGTGAAAAGAGAACAGAGTATCTAGGAAAATAAATAAGAGGATTTGGCTTGAAAATTAAGAATGCAGGACAATATTAAATAGTGTGACTTCACCTTTATGTTTCTGAAACTTTTGTATATGAAGTTGTGACTGCAGTAAAGATGTTTCTTGATAAACAACTTTGGCAGGTAGTGAGGGCAGCGGAAATATAGAGACAGTAACTGTGCCAGATGTCTTATGATCTTAGGTAAAAGGTAGCTAAGGTGCAGTAGACCAGGACAAAGGAAAGGTAAGTTCTCTGTTGTCAGTTCATTAGCAAAAAATGTTTGTGATTATGTGGGTAATACTGAAAATTTTTCACTGTATAATTTTAAAACAACAATTGGAAATTTCAATTCCATTTATCTTTGAAATGCATTTGTAAAAAGATTGCGTGGTTAAGGTTCACCAAAGAAAACTTAATCTGCATAACATTAGGAAAAAGTGAAGAAACAGAGAGATTGATGATTGAAAAAGTATTGAGAGACATAGCAATGACAGGATTTTGCAGGTAAAAATAATGACTTCTAAGAGATAACTGAGGTGTGTTGGTGGGTAGGTAAACACAAGCTTTTTATCCCTGTGACACTACTGCAAGTCTGTGAGAAAACTGTCTTTGTCAGTTGGTGTAAGTACAAAAAACACTACCTTTACCTAAAGATCTTGTCCTCATATTCTCACACCATTACAGTTAAAACTCTGTCAGCATTTAGAAAATTAATCTATCTTTCCTGAAATGTGGAACATCAAACTTCATTGTGAATACTGCTGTAGGGGAAATTCAGGTCTTGAACACCTGTGCTGTGTATAATCATTCTGATAAGGTGAGGAAATATGGAGACAATGGTGGATTCGAAAAAGAATGTGATAATGGTCTGCCATTAGAAGAGATGATAATTTTGACTGGTCTTTGTTGCCATTTACCCCTAAAGATGCCTGAGAGAAAGAAGTTATTAGAATCAAAGTGTAAAGGCTGAGAAAAATATCAGCCACTGGAACAGATAGAAACAGCATGATTTGATGATTTCCTGGATGTCTTGGGAATGCTTTTCAAGCTTTGATGGTGTCATTCAGAGAAAAATAAAGATGATTTTTTTTCTTATTGGCAGTACTAGCTGATTGTTGTTTTTATTTGTAGAGGCCTTACTCCTCCTGATGCGGAAATGTTATATATGCAAGAAGTAGAAAGAATGGAGGGCTATGGTGAAGAGACCTATCCTGCAAAGGTAAACAGGGCTTTGATCTTTGTCTCAGTTGCCTTTTTTTCACTGTTTAGAAGGGTTGCTTCCTGCCAAAAATAAATAAATCCCAAATCCACATCACTCAGAATTTTCTCCTCCAGAATTATAAAAGCAGTTGTTTTTCTTGTAACTCTGCTTTCCAAGACTTTTTTCTGTATTTACATAACTTTTTGCAACTTCTTACAGGACAGCCAAGGAAGTGACATATTCATTGGAGCATGTCTTGATGGTATCTTTGTAAAACACAAAAATGGTCGTCCTCCTGTTGTATTTAGGTCAGTATTGTTCTTTCTTAAAATATCTTTGTGCACTTCACATTTTATATGTGTTGCTCACAAGCATGAATGACTCTTAGATATGATGTGTATTTAGTAATTTGATAAACCTGAACATAGTCTTGTAGTAATCACACTACAGTGAATACTGAATTCCATGGGAATTTTTCAGTGTAGTGAATGCAGAATGAATCTCTTTAAGCCAAATTAATTGTAAGAGATGAACATTTAATATACAGTTCCATTGCAAAGCATTTATTGGATCAAAAAAGAGCAATTCTGTGCATATACAGTATCTCAAATCCTGCCATGGTCACGTCAATTTATGTTGAAATATCCAGTTGTAAAATTGTCCAGAAGTTTCTTTCATATATTATAAATAAAATAAATTGTGGAGAGTCACACGATAACATTTGTTTCATTATTTTGGATTCACACATTTTTTAGTTTATTATTTAATGGTCTGATAACTTGTAGACAGAGGTGTGACTTACTTAAAATTCAGTCTTCATGTGAAATGGCTTGATCCTCATTTACTTCAAGAGGAGTTGCTTGGGCATCTTTGGGCAGAATTTGGAATAAATTTTAAAAAATACATTTTTAGATTTTTATAAGATGAGTCTCATCAATTTGTAGTTATTGCTAGAGCAAGAAAGGCTTTATTCTTAGTGAACTTTAACTTTCTAGAATTTAATCTTTTTCTGAATGTGATGGAAATCTTGAAATCCCATGGTCCAACAGTTACTGGAACTTCACTACCAGTTAATTTCTGGGGTTAGAGAAAGTAGCAACAGTGCTTGTTTCTCTTAGTAGTTTTGTTTAACAGAATTTATAAATTCAGTACTGTTAAATGTCCTTCTGTCTCTGCTGTTGATAGGAGAGCTTATGCCAAGCTCTTTTTAATTGTCTGGAGTTGTCGAAGTGCTCTACTCTGCTTCCTTGCAGTGTTAGACAACAGCTGTACTTTTCAAACACAGGAGAAAGGAATAAAGCATTGTCCATGCATGTTGCATAATTTCCTAAAGAATTGTGAATGTAGTGTCTGTAAACATAGAAAAAAAAACCACATTGGGAAACATCAGGAAAATATCCATATTCCAGTTTCAGCATCCAGTTTTCTGCTCTTTTACTTGTTTGTTGTATGACTGTTGGCAATTCCACCATGGATAGATAGATCATGCACAGACAAATGACCCATTAGTATAATTTACAGAGGCTGGGTAATGGTTCACATTGTTCAGGTAATTTCCTAATTGTGTCCGCAAATGCCTATGAACCAAGGCTTTAAATCCGAGGGACTTTTATTCTACATCAAAATGGGGACATTAGTTTTCTTTACCTCATGCATATGATTGGGAGTAGCTACAGAAAATGCTGTCAGACTCATCTATGTATTGAAAATGTGAGTCATATAAATACTTTTAGAGAGAGTCCTATATGTACATCATTCTTTTTCCATGTGTTTATGCACTGCAGAATCTTCTTCTAATGAATCAATTATATGAGCTTTATTTATACTAACATAATTCTAATGGATTAAGCTACATTTATATTTAACAAGAACATGAATAAATATATGATATTATATTTTATGTAATCTAACTTTTTCTCATCTGTCAATGTGCGACAGTTCTAGAAGATATGTCTAATAGTGCCTTAAAGGCTTTGTTCAGTGTAGATTTAATTTCTTTTTTCCTGTAATGTCTGATTTGCTTTCAAGGAGTCAGGATGTTATAATTTACTGATAACTAAATTTGTCTAAATTTGATTTGATTTTTTAAAGAACACTTGAAAGAATTTCAAGTGGAAGAAAAGTAATAAACTTAATACTGTACATGTTGTTAATTTTCCCAAGTTAGTCACATACTGTTTTCCTTTCAGCAGCCATGTAATGGATATGGAAGTGATGGTCTGCAACTTGTTCAGATAGATTAATGAACTTTTTCACAGAATCATAGAATATTCTGAGTTAGAAGGGGCCCATCAGGATCATTGAATCCAACACTTAGCCCTGCACAGGACCATCCCCAAGAGTCACAGCATGTGCCTGAAAACCTTGTCCAAACACTTCTTGAACTCTGTCAGGCTTGGTGCTGTGACCACTTCCCTGGGGAGCCTGTTCCAGTGCCCAAACACCCTCTGGGTGAAAAACGTGTTCCTGATATCCAGCCTCAACCTCCCCTGGCTCAGCTTCATGCTGTTTCCTTCAGTCCTGCCACTGGTCACCAGGGTGAAAAGACCAGTACTTGCCCCTCCGCTTCTCCTCATGAGTATGTCCTCAGTTCTTTCTCCATATTCTTGGTGATGGTTCTGTTCTTCAGTTGCATTTTCTGTGGTTTGAAAATCAGAGCTTGCCAGTAATGTTTTATCCCTTTTGTCTGCAGGTGGCATGATATTGCCAACATGTCCCACAATAAATCCTTTTTCGCATTAGAGCTGGCCAACAAAGAAGAGACAATTCAATTCCAAACTGTGAGTACATTTTTTTTTTTTTTTGCTAAGACATCAGTAAATATAAACACAAACTAAGACTGATAATTTAACTGAAAGATTAAAACCTACTTTATATATATTTAGCAGCTTTGAATTGTACAAGTGAGTCAAAAGTAATAATACAGTCTTTGGCTAGCTTTCTACAGGAAGGCATTAAAAATCAGATATTTTATGTTCAATACATTGACACATAGAATTAATTTTATGCAGCATCTGCCCTTTGATTTGTCAAAAGGCAACTGATGACAGTCTTATGGAAATCTTTATTAACTATAAGTTGTGTTAGTATTACAGCTGATAAGAGTGTCTTCAACAAAAGGCTTCTACTCTAAAATTTCATAAATCTAATAGTAGCGTTAGGTTGGAGTGGGTGTTTGCACCTGCAAAATAGAGTTTTAGGGAAAACCTAGAACTAAACCTAAAACCTAAAACTAAATAGGTCAATGCTAGTTTCATCTTAAAAATTTCAGTGGCTTGTCTGAAAGCAAGTAAAGGGTATGCATATTTGGCTTAATGCAAATTTTGCTTTTTTTTTTTGGCAGGAAGATATGGAAACAGCAAAATATGTGTGGAGGATGTGTGTGGCTAGACACAAATTTTACAGACTAAATAAATGCAGCCTGTAAGTGGAATACTTTAGCACAACTCTTGTTGCCTTGAAGCTTCCATTGGGAAGTGAAATCTTCCACTATTGTCCTATTTACATGGTAGCAATTAATGATGTGGGTTAATTTTCTTAATCATTTTTTGAGAAAATAGTTATCAACAGTTTTTGAAACAATTTCTGCTTTATAACAGAGGAAAATATTAAATACTGAAAGCTTACCAATCGTGAGTGTTTGGCCTTTGTATCTGGATCTCAGGGCTGTGACAGACTTCAGTTGCTTTGGGATCTAATATTGCTAGTGTTTGTGAGCTGCTGGAATCACTAGAGTTTTGGCCTAGGTTTGGGTGAACTGCTCTGAAAGGACACTAGAGGCTTTAAAAGGGCGGGAAGTGTATGTGAAGCACTCCTGAAATGTGCTGGATTGACAGCTGAGAGGTGTGTGGTTCTTTAGATATCCATGGAATCTGTATAGCTCAAGTAACACCAGTGCAAGGTAAATTTAATCAATTAATCAAATTAAATTTAATTGGGCTGGTCTCCAACTTGTAAACCAATGGCTGGAATCTGAGCTACTTTACTGATACAGCTTTCCTTCAGTTAAGTTTCTTCAGTCAAAAAATAGGGAATTAGACACAGTGAACATTCTGTCATAAAAGAAACACGCTTCCCATATGTTTCATTCCTCTTTGTGTGTGGGAGATAGCTGTGGAGGGGTGGCTCTGAAATCTGCTGAGGCCAGTGGAAAGATAATGAAATATTTGTGCCACAGGTGACTCAACAGTGTGTTTAATGCTAATTTATTTGAGAAGTAAGATTACTTTGAAATAGAGTAAACCTCATACCTCAAAGCTTGTAAACCTGACTGCCTTTTGAGAGTGATAAGAAATATTGGTAGAAGTAGTGCATTTGTGGGACTTGTATATTGCTGTCTGAATAATGTCAGTTCTATAGTTCTATATTGAATGCCAGTCTCTAGGATTACTTATTGTAATGGTTTCACCACAATAGGGTTTTGCATGAAGTTAAGTCCTTAAAAAGACTTTTCTCATTATCTCTACTCTTAAAATTTCCTGTCATCTGGTCCTGCTGCTGAAAACTGTCTTATGCATGCCTGTATTAACTTCAGGGGTTTTTTTCTTAATCTGTACGTACTTTATCTTTAGAGATTCCCTGGACTCTCCACCTGAGGAGGGCTCTCAGAAATCTTCCCTCATTCTTTCCCTTCCACGCTTTCCAATCCTTTCTCGTCCTTCATTTCCTAAAGGGTGAGCTAAACAACATCTTTCTTCCTGAAAAGTAACGTTAATATTATGCTGTCTTTTGACCTCTGTCTTGCTGCAAGACACAGAGAACAGGTGCAGTGTAGGGTGGGGGGAAAAGGACCTTAAGGCTTACATCCTGGAGGCAATCCAACAAATTATGAAAATTCATTACTGTTAGTTTGAATGTTAGAACATATAAATCCTCATGCAGTATGGTCGTGCTTTCCAGTTTCTGTAACATTTGTAATGTTACAATCCCTAAACAATTTTATGTCTGAATTGTAGAACAGGTAACTTACAGTATGAGATTTTATATGGGGTTCAAATTTGGAACTAGCCCCCAGTTATTCCACTGCTTTTTCTGCCCTACTGCAGTGCTTCAGGGACGTCTCCTTTTTATGCTTCATAGAGAAGAGGCAAAGAAATAACTGAGGTATTTTGATCCTGGCTTTGTGATTTTTGCTTTGTGATGGTGGTTTATGCACAGAGCTCTTTCATTTTGAGACTGTTGGGGAGGAGTATTTAACACAGGCCTGGCTCCAAGAAATGTAGAGTGATTTTGATTGAACTTGGGAGTGCTTTCCAGTGTTTGATATATGTCTTGCTGTTGTTAAGAATCATTTCTTACCATAAAATTTCTTCTGCAGACAAACTCAGCCTGTTACAGTGAATCCTGTTAGAAGACGGTCTTCGTCCAGAATGTCTATGGTAAGGAGAGCAAATAGCTTTATGTTTGCAGTGTTATGGATTTCAATTGACTTTGAATCAAATATTAGTTTCCTTCAGTGAAACAAAATGAGCAGTGAAAAAGATGAGTCTAGTATGTAAGGAACTGTTTCTGACTTGTAGAAAAAGCTGCTATGTGATATCTAAATAATGGAATTAAAATAATTGTAATGAAAAATATTTTAAACACTTCTATTTTTAGTTTGACCACTCTGTCTCTAGGAGACTGTCCTAGATGTCTGATGTCAAGATACAGTCTTGGGTTGGTGGTGTGTGCTTGGAGAGCTTTTTCCCCAGCTTTTTATTTATTCTTTTTATGACCTCACAGGAGAAATTTCCATTGCAGATTTAGAGAAATGGTTTAAAACAAAGGCTTTGTATGTGTGTGTGTTTATTCTATATTATAATGTGTATAATATTGTATATAATATGTATCATATTATACATATATAATAGTGTACATTATGTATATAAAAAAATTTCAAGAATTATTTTTAAAATAAATAATCATTTTTTAAGTAACAGTAAGATGTTTGCTTTCCTAGCCTAAGCCTCAGCCTTATATGATGCCTCCACCACCTCAGCTGCATTACAATGGTCATTATACTGAACCATATGCATCTTCCCAAGGTAAGTTCATTAAACCCACCACCACACTACACATCTTTGAAAGGTAAAAACTATAATTTGCATTTGTAGCTACTTTATTTAGAGCTGAAGAAATCAGTAACGTGAACATGGGGTAGGTTTGTACTAGAACACTCATTGAAGTGCTTGCTGCTGCTATAGGCATATAGGCTAATGTGAAATACCATCATAGAATCCTAGAATCCTTTAGGTTGGAAAAGACCTTTAAGTTCATCAAGTCTAATCATCGTTGCAGCACTGCCAAGTCCACCCTAACCCGTGTCCATAAGTGCCACATCTACATGTCTGTTATGTACTGCCAGGGATGGTAACTCCACCACTTCCCTGGGCAGCCTGTTCCAATGCCTTACCACCCTTTCTGTGAAGAAATTTCCTAATATCCAATCTGAACCTCCCCTCGTGCAACTTGAGGCTGTTTTCTCTTGTCCTGTCACTTGTTACCTATGAGAAGACACAGACACACACCTCACTGCAACCTTCTTTCACATAGGTGTAGAGAGTGATAAGGTCCTCCCTGAGCCTCCCTTTCTTCAGGCTAAACAATCGCAGTTCCCTTTACTGCTCCTCCTCCACTTCCTCTCCTATGAGAGATGAGTAAATCTAGTTAAGGTAGCATATACAAAACACTGTGGTGTCCTGTGTGAGTTTAAGCTGACCTTCACTTTTTTTGGTTCTTGTATCAATGTTATGGCATTTTGAGATCCTTGTCAATATTGATCTCAATAGCTGCAAAGACTAACTGAACCCCCAGACAATTTACAAAATTAAAAAAATTAAAAAAAATAAATCGAACCTAAGATGCAGGAAGAGAGGAGGTTCTCTCAGAGTTTGCTAGGCTACAAGGTGGTGGTGAATTCAAAGGCTAAGGAAGTTTGCAAGTTATGGAACTGGTATATGTTTGATTGAAACAAAAAAGAAAGAAACCCAATCAACCCTTAACTAATATTCTCAAGGAATGTAGACACCTAATCTAAGTGGTTTACAGCAGAGTCATGGCTGCTTTCTCATGTGTTTTTGATTGTTACGCATTGTGTCTTTAATTAAAAAACTTGCTGCCCTCAAGGATTGAATCTAATTGTTTGCCAAGTTGCCTCAGTTTTGATAGGGGTCTTCCAGTCCTACAAATTTGCTGGATAAATAATACTCTAACAACTCAGTGGGAAGGGAGTAAGCACATTTTCTATCTGAACAGAGTTACACAAGTCTTCATGAAATACAGGTACTCAGCTACATTCAGAATGTAGCTGAGTTCTTTCCAGTTTAGTGTTGGAATTATTGCTGGATACTTGCTACTACACATGTCCTATTTTTGGATGATTTTTTTGCACAAAAGGAGTTTTGATTGTCAGCAAATTCATTAGCATAAATGCAGCAATTATTTTGGTGAACCCAAAGAGTTTAATTATGGAAGGCATCTAAAGCAATGACTGAATTGTTCTCTTCTGGAGACTAGCAAACTGTACATCCAATGAAATAATAATTAAATGATTAAATGTGTCTTGGATGTATAAACTGTTAGATCATTTTCTTTACCCATAAGAGTAGGTATATGTTAATTTGTGAGCAATAGATGGTGGTAGTTTAAACTGTCTCCAAAATTTCTGGAGAAAAGTTAATTTGATTTTTTTTTTTTTAAGATCTTGTGGCACTATATCTACTTATGTCATGAGGGGGTAGAAGAGAGAAGAAACAAATTTTTTGTTTGGTTTTTGTGGGGCTGTTTTTAGTGTTTTTTCCTTTCTTTGCTGTTTAAACTGATATTGCTACATTAGTGCAAATCCATGTAAACATTCTTTTTTTCAAATGATGTGGTGTAACACTGACAGGGACTTTGTTTAACTTGGACTGAACCTTAGCAAACCTTTCCTAAACAGAAGAAAGCCATTCTTAAACAGAGAGTGTTTTCCCATAGGAACCTGAATAATTGAAATAAATATAATAGGTTATTCTGGTCTACATATCTTGGGTATCAACAACAAAAGCTGGGGTTTGGGTTTGGTTTTTTCTCCTTCCTATTTTAATACATAGCTAAGATTAATAGAGGTTCTGAAAACCACAAACATTGCTTAGCTATGTCTTAATAGAAGATAACTTTGTTTGATGTCTTGGACATAAAGATTGTTCTTAAACTTTACTTTCAGATAACCTCTTTGTGAGCAATCAGAATGGATACTACTATCACTCTCAGACTAGCTTGGATAGAGCCCCTCATGACTACAGTGGTCGGATCCGCAATGGTAGTGTCTATAGTGCACACAGCACAAACTCCTTGAACAACCCACAGCATTACTTGCAGCCATCCCCCATGTCCTCTAACCCAAGCATTACTGGAAGTGATGTCCTCAGAACTGATTATGTCCCATCACACAGACATAGTGCACTAATACCACCTTCTTATCGTCCCACGCCAGACTATGAGACTGTGATGAGACAGCTCAACAGAGGAATGGTGCACACAGATAGGCAGAGTCATTCAATGAGAAATCTTAACATCAGCAATTCCTATGCTTACAGCAGACCTGATGCCTTAGTTTACAGTCAGCCTGAAATACGAGAACATGCTCACTTTGCTGCCCCACAGTCTAACCATTATCCATTTAACCTGAACTACAGCTTTCATAGCCAATCCCCCTACCCATATCCTGCTGAAAAGCGCCCAGTTGTTGGGGCAGTCAGTGTGCCTGAGTTGACAAATGTGCAGCTCCAGGCTCAGGATTATCCAGCACCAAATATAATGAAGACCCAAGTCTATCGACCACCTCCCCCATACCCGTACCCAAGGCCTGCAAACAGTACTCCAGACCTTTCCCGGCATATCTACATCAGCAACAGCAATCCAGATCTGATCACAAGGCGAGTGCACCATTCTGTCCAGACATTTCAAGAAGACAGCCTGCCTGTGGCACATTCTCTTCAGGAAGTCAGTGAGCCTCTAACATCGGCACGCCATGCGCAGCTGCAGAAAAGGAACAGTATTGAAATAGCAGGCTTGGCTCCCAGCTTTGAAGGAATAAGGATTAAAGAGAGGACCATGTCAGCTTCTGCAGCAGATGTGGCTCTTCCAAGAGTTATCTCAGAAGGGTCACAGCCCAACATTCTGATGGAGAGAGCGAAGCAAAAAGAAGGTGAGCAAGAAGAATGTGTGAACTGTGATCATAAGAAAACCCTTTCAGATGCCACTATGCTGATTCACAGTAGTGAGGAAGAAGAAGAATTTGAAGAAGAAAACAAGGCTAATACAAGTCTTTCTCCTCTGCCCGAAGATCAAACCCAACTTTCATCTGTTATTGGAGGTTATTCTCATGATTCAGTACTGAAGTACCCTTATAGCTCTGTTGCTTCATCTGCTGGCCCTCTGCATATTCTTGAGCCTAAATTACATATTACAGAGGCAGAGAAGAGAATGAAAGATATGAGCCCTGTTCATTTACTAGTAGAAAGCCAGGTCCAGAGAAGAGGGGAAGGACTGCTAACTCCATCCATGTCAGAATCTGATCTAACAACATCAGGGAGATACAGAGTAAGGAAAGATTCAGTAAAGAAGAGACCTGTGTCCGATCTTTTGTCTGGGAAGAAGAATATTGTGGAAGGCCTTCCCCCGCTAGGTGTAAGTGGATACCATTCATCTTGTTTTGGGTTGGATGTAGCAGAAGTTGTTTGGGGGTTTTTTGGAGGTTTGGGGTTCTTTTAATCAACCTGAGATGCTTTTAAAACATGTGAATTGAAAGCTACCTTAAGCTTGACCTTTATTTTTCTGTGTTTCCCTGATTAACTTTGCTTAGCTGTCTTTTATCCCCTTCTCTGCCATGTCTGAGTTCTGTTTGTATAGTCCTCCCACACAAATCCAGCTGTGCACCCTCCATCTCTCTGATACACGTAACCTGGCCAGAAACGTTAGAATGAGCTATTTTAAAGTCATCTCTAGATCCCAATTCTGTCCTATCTGTCCTTATCTGGAACAGAAGCAACTCTTTCCATTCAACTACCAGCTTTCTAATCTTCCTCTCATGGAAAAGTCATACATAGCTGAATGTTTACTTTAAAAAAAATTTGCTTTCTTCTTCTGACCTAAGAGGGGACCTGACACATTAAACAATAAATTCATTCCTTGCATTCTCTTCTTTACTCCATGCTTTCCCCTTTCCAAATCCTTTCCCTTTTGCCTTCTCTTCAAGATGTTTTATCCCAGTAAAGGTATTTCTTGCTTGCCGTGCCTCTTTCTCCTACTCCAATCTTATGAAGCCATGAATAGTAAAAACCTACAAGTTTAACCTTTCCTGTAATTCCTACATCACAGAAGTGTCAAGGTCTCTGTGGACTGTACAATTTCACTGGTACTCCTTACCACCCATTTTGTTTTCAACTTTTGTCCAGTTTTATGTAGGCTGTGGCAGATTTCAGGTACTAATAGAGGAAGATAATTTTTATTATTATTTTGGCCTTTAAAATTGATTGACATTTTGCATGTCTGATTTAGTGTCAAATTGTTTTCTGCACGAATTGGACTGCAGGGGAACTACTAGATTTAACTTCTATTGCTGTGGTAACTTACAGCTGATGCTGCAAAAACTAACATATGCAAAAGCTATGCATTGAAATAGTTACTGCTGTCACAATGTTTTGTCTCAGACATGCTATACATGGAGCTGAACACTATGAAATGAACCTTCATCAGCTTCAATTCATTTTATAATTATGTATGTTTTTCTACATCTCCTTCCTCCTGAGTTTTTATGTGGATATAGGAAAAAAAAGGGATACCTTTCCCCTTGTGTTCACATTTAGACAGTCACTTAGTATGTTCTCCAGAAGATACATTTTCAGACAGTAATGTGTCTACCAAAATCATACCCTGCTTTTCCTTCAGACAGTTATGTAAATGTTCCAGTCAACCTTTGAAATTAAATTGATATTAAAACTTTTTCATTGGAAGTGTTCACTAATATAGTTTCTAGTGCAGTAACATTTAAAAGTGCCACTGTGTAATACAGAATATTACCTTTTTATATTCATAACTGAGATGAATATCCTAGTTATAGAGCTGGTCCCTACCAATGTTTGCATGTTTTGCTTTTCAAGGAACTTTTGCTGTTGTGTTTGTGTTCATTTTAAATGTGGTCTCATCCTCTTAGCTTTGTCTTCCTATTTCTTACCACCATTTAGCTTTTGAAAGCATTGATTGTCATTCAAGCAGCATATGCACTCCTATTTTTACTGTATTTTTTTTAACAAGTAAACTTTGCAATTGCAGGAATGATGAAGTTTTCTCTTACACTTTTTAAAAGAATAATTTGAATTTATTCTTTCATAGAAATCCCCCTTGGATATTTTTCTCAAATAATGAATGGTTACTTCCATAATTTAGATTCAGAAATTATGGCCCAGAACTCAAATCTGTCTGCAGTTCTGTGTTCATGTTTTGTATGTACAGTTTGTTGCAGATGTAATAAAGCATTTAACTATATCCAAATATCTGCACTGTATATGCTCATTTTTATGCCTGCTTGTGGGGAAGAAAAGTGCCTGCAAACTGAATAGTCTAGTAAGGAATAATTTTTATGCATTTTTGGGGTTGGGAAGTGATTTCAGTTCTGTCCAAGAATGTTAATTATCCAGAGTTGTCACCTCACACCCTCAGTTGTGAGCTTTGTAGGGAACAATATTTGTCATTCTCGTGCAGTTTCATTAGCCTGTCTGGAATGAAGACAGACTTGTGTTGTGTCCTTGGAGGAATGTAGTCCCACCCCCCTAATCTCTCACTGCAGTGCTTATCAAAAAAAAAGGTCAGATATGTTTGCATAAGGGGTCAAAGATGTATCCTTTGCTTAGTTGAACGCAGCTGTTTTCTGTTTATAACTTCGTCAGGTATTTAAGAATATTTACAAGTTTATATTTTCTTTTGCAGGGTATGAAAAAGAATAAAAATGATGCAAAAAAAATGGGCCCTCTAAAGCTAGCTGCCCTAAATGGACTTGCATTGACTAGAATGCCTCTGCCAGATGAGGGGAAGGAAGAATCAACAAGAGCAACAAATGATGAAAGGGTATGTTGAAGTTTTTTAGACCTTGATTTACAGTAGTAATTTTTCAAAATGAAGCGCATATGAATGGTGCTTTTTGTTGACTTTAAAATGCTTCAGATTCAAATCAAATGCTGAGAATAAAACAATGAAAAATGAGATTTCTGATTGACAAATTATTGCTAGAAGTACTGGGTGTAGCTCAGATTTTTAAGACAGTGATTCAATTATAATTTACCCTTTGAACATATAGGAAGAAATTATTAGTACTTACTGATATATTTTTATGCAACTTTTTCTATTTTATTTCTTAATTTTGAGTTTTCCAGACCGAAACTTAAGTGTGAGATTGAACTTAGTTGTAATTATTAGTAACTCATACAGAGTTTAGAATAAGTTTTGCAGCTAAATTGCATCCCCAGAGTACAGTTTGCACAGATTGTATTTATCTGTTTTCCTCAGGTGAATCCCATAAAAGATAGAGGGAACTTGTTCTATTTGCAGAAATTTTAAATAAGTAAAAGATGTCAGATCAATGAGAGGACATCAGTTTCTAGAATTTGAGGATCTTTGAGAAATACAAGACTCCATCTGCTTGTGTCAGGATAAAAAACCTCAGTAAATATGCTTCAGCCTGTCTCATATCATTAAACAAGTGCAGGAAAGTGAAATACAGTCAATAGTCAGCCTTTGATGGGCTATGTGGAACCCAGCTGTCATCACACATCTGACCAGGGAGAAACTAGATACACCAAGGTCTGTGGTGATTATTGTCCCTTCTGTGACCAGTGATCTGTTTAGAATCCAGTTGTGAGCATGGCTGGGGATCCTCAGCTGCAGATCCTCTCTAGCTGAGTTTGTTCTCAGTCACTGGACAGGGATTAGAACCTGAAGGAATAGTCGTGCCCTCACCAGCTGCAGTTTTAAGAAACAGGCCAAGAAAATTCATTGCAAGTCATTCCAAGTTTGAAGGCTTGGATGAGATCCATAGGAGGGACATCTGACTGTTCTGTTTCAACACAGTTTATGTTCCTTTGAACTACATATATTTTGCCTAAAGATGCTAAGGCACAAAAATTAACGTTGTCTTATTGAGATACAGTTCTACATTTATTACCTGTGTTGGTTATTTCCTCTTACTTACAGCCATCATTTCTTTCTAGATTGATCTTTACTAAATTCAACCATATTATTATTCAGCTAGCTCTGCCCAAAAGTGTTGAGGTAAAGAAGAAGCCATGAAGTCAAGTTATGAAAGAGACATGTCACTACACTTTCTCTTCAGACAGTCATGTAGAGGCAGAATAGATATCATGAAATGGGATTAGTGCCTAAAACAGTTGAGAAGAGGCAATGTGAAGTAGACACGTGACATGAAGTCCAGAGTACAGATATTTTGGAAGATGAATTTAGTATTGATTCAGTGCCTGTTTCATTGGTCAGCTTCATGTTATTATCAGTTTAAATAAGGGAATTTAGCCTAAAGGTAATAAAGGAGTTCATACAGTTGATATATTGGTGTGCAAATTGCATATGATTGAGGTTTTACACCTTCCTCTGCAACATTTGGCGTACTTAGTTGATACAAGATACTTTTATGACCTGATACCACAGAGCAGTTGCTGTGAGAATCTGGGGGCATGTGACATAGATGAAATTTTCTGGCTGAAATCTTACATATTATTCCTCTAATTATTGTTGGCAAAGAGATGCTGAAATTCCAGAAGTGTCTTATGATTTAGAAAGAACTTGGTTTCAAAAGAATAAAGGGGGAGTGGGAAGGGGAGCAGCTTATTAAATAAAACAGATCAAATTAAACTATTAGAAAAAATTCTGAGTTTATAACTCAGCTGGAGCAAGAGATTCTAAGAAGGCTTTGCTGCTGTATGAAAAGTTTAGTTTTTCTCCATCCAAACAATAAAGTTTGGATGGTTTGTTTATTATTTTTGTTTTTTGTTTGTTTGTTTTATTACAAGGTTAAAGGAGACCTTTCAAATGATGGCATCTAACATGCTAAATTGAGCAGGTGGGTTAATAAGTATTCCTTGTTCAAAGGCATTTGAGGCAGTATGCAGTATAGCATAGCTATCTGGTTGGCCAGTTTTCCCCCCCCACCACCCAACTGGGCTGTCTTTATAGAAACTATGAAGTAATTTTTCCTTCACAAGCAGTATTCACATAGGTCTTTGTGACCTAATGAAGTATAACAGGCTTATTAGTTTTCACTTGAACAAAATTCCTGCTGGTTAGGGTTGCTTCTAATTTATTCTGGTATATTTGTGAAAACATTAATAGCTGGAAAAGCATTGAAGAAGTATGTAGGAGACAAAAATACATACATTTTATCCTTCATGAATTCTCTGTTAAAACTGACTCACCTTAGAATGACTTTGTATCATTATCCATGTTCTGTCTTTCAGTGTAAAATTCTGGAACAACGGTTAGAGCAGGGGATGGTGTTCACTGAATACGAGCGCATTCAGAAAAAAAGGCTTATGGATGGTGAGTGCTCAATAGCTCGGCTTCCTGAAAATGCTGAAAGGAACCGGTTCCAGGACGTCCTTCCTTATGATGATACCAGAGTAGAGCTAGTCCCAACCAAAGAAAATAACACGGGTTACATCAATGCATCTCATATCAAGGTGAGAGGAATATTGTTGGAGAAATATTTTCTGGTTCATGTGTTATCTAAAAATGCATTTGGCTATCAATTTTGGTTTGGTAAGATGAATGAGAATCTCTCCATCTCTCTCTTCCACTTCTTCTCCAGAGGTTTCTTTGGGGAAAGGAGGAACCTGTTTTCCTCATTACTTAGGAGGGTTAAATATTGGAGGATCTTTTGCATTTCACTTCTGTATTGATCTACTGTCTCCTTTCTATCTCTGTCTCATCTCTCTGGAGATTGGTGCTAGCAGAAGGCATGTGTACTCTTCACAGAGTTAAAAAGAAAAAAAGCTTTAAAACAAACTTGGATCCTCTGGAATAGTTATGGTGTTTTTGAACTGCAGTGATAATCAGTTTTTCTTCTTTTTCTGTACTCTCAGACTGTATGTACAACAGGGAGTAAGCTAGCTCCCAGCTTAAGCTTTTTTGGGTGATTAGAGGAACTGATGGAGCCAGAGGGAAATATGTTTTTTAAAATCTTCAGTTGTCCCCTTCCCCATCCTTAATTCTTTAAACTCTGTTTAAGAAATTGAAGAATTTGCAGGGTGACCTCAAGGACCTTCAAGGCAGCTCATTCATTTTTCAATACATTTACCTGCTTAAAGTGCAACCACACTTGGCTTCATGCTTTCTCTGAAAAGAGTTGAGATCATCAAAGCAGCAGTTGTATCTGTGTTGCTGTCTTTTTTTAATCAATCCATTTGTACACTGACACAGTACCATTGTTTCTCTGCTTCATTCACAAATGTTGAGTGAATCTTCTGACCCTTTTCAAGCAAGATAATATTTTTTGAGGAAATTTCAAGAAATTTCGAGAAATTTCTGAATTTTTATTACTTGTAATAGCATTTACAGCACCAGGGTATGCAAGCTTCTCTAAACCTGAATTTGTTACAATACCTTCAATTCAAAAAAGAAAAATATAGTTTTATTTTCTCAGTTTTTCATTATGGTTATGATGTAAAGTACATTTATTTAGTCATGTGCCTATACAATTCTGTCTCTTCTGCATCTAATGTGACAAGACATAGCTAAAAATTGGGGCAGATATAACTCACAAGGGGCTCCTACTTCTGCAGTGTTGGTGTCTTTTTTCATTTTGTGCATCTTCAGAATTGGGGAAAGGGTTTTGCGTAATTACTAATACAATGTCTTTCTTTTTACAGATCTCTGTTGGGGGCATAGAGTGGGATTACATTGCTACGCAGGGCCCTTTGCAGAATACATGTCAGGATTTCTGGCAGATGATCTGGGAACAAGGGATTGCCATCATAGCTATGGTGACAGCAGAGGAAGTGAGTATAAATTAAATCTGGTTTCTCCCAAATATTCCACAATGTTTTTTTAATAATCTGTTAAGGGAAGGACATCTTTGCTCTAACAAGACCAATCAAAGACAAATTTCTAGTGACTCCTTTGCTATTCTGTCTTCCTTTCTTTGGTAGAAAGATGAATTTGCAAACTCTTTCTGCTGGAAGGTTGGTTTACTCCATAAGAAACAATAACACTCTAGTAATATTTAATAGAGGAGAGATACAGTTGTTACTACAGTAGAATTAGTTGTATGAATGTTCTTGTGTTTTTTGTTAAGCAAATGTTTTACTTTTAAGGAAAGCGGGCGAGAAAAAAGCTTCAGATACTGGCCACGTCTTGGTTCACGACACAACACTGTAACCTATGGAAGATTTAAGATTACCACGCGATTCCGTACTGACTCAGGCTGCTATGCAACTACAGGTTTGAAGATTAAGCATCTTCTCACAGGACAGGAGAGAACGGTTTGGCATTTGCAGTACACTGACTGGCCAGAGCATGGCTGTCCAGAAGATTTAAAGGGATTTTTATGTAAGTTATATTTAATAGCTTTGTTTTGGTGTGTGGTTTGTGTTGGTTTTTTTAATACCTTCTAGAATGGCTACTATATAGGAATTAGCTTTTGATAATTATGTCAAGCATTCTGCTGTAAAAGGTTTCTTCACACGAGCAAGATATACTGAATTATACTTTTTGCAGGAATATACCTGACAGTTTATTAAAGGGACTGTTTATGTCTAAAGCCAAAATTTACTAAAAGCTCGTATAGATTAAAACATAAGTGCATCACATACTACACATTTGAGTATGTTGCAGCAGTAGCAAGATGGCCGTGAGCCACCTTTAGGGGGAAGTAGGGGAACAAGACTTGAAAATCCTTACAAAAGTGAGATGACCTTTGTAGATCTATATTGCTTTGGTGGAGGTATGACTTGTGATTTATATAATCTATTTTTCTGTGAGATGTCACTTGTTAAACTACTACTTTTCTGGTGGTCATACAGCATAACAGCATGGCTTACAGGGCTTCATCTCCTAAATGAATTATTCTCATCTTGTTGAACTTAATAGCATACTTGGAAGAGATACAGTCTGTGCGGCGCCACACGAACAGCACTGCGGATCCTAAAAGCTCTAATCCCCCTGTACTGGTGCACTGCAGTGCAGGTGTGGGGCGAACAGGGGTGGTCATACTGTCAGAGATCATGATCGCTTGCTTGGAACACAATGAGGTGATCTCTTTTTCTTTCTCATGCTCTAAATAATGTTAGGTAATAGAACAGAAAATAACCTGACTAAAATGGCTGTTCGTCTGAGCAGTCTTTGGAAGAGCCCTTACAACTATGCTTTAAAGAGCTCTTGGAAATTCAACAGAAGTTAATAATCTTCTAGAGTTGCCCACATATACACCAAGTACTGGAATGCTCATTTCGATTCTTGACTCTGTAAGATGTTGAGTCACTGAGTGGAACAAGATATGCCCTAGGCTACTGAACATATTTCAGGATTTCATCCTGACTTTACCACTTCTTGCCTTAATTAGAATGGATAATATTCAAGAACATGCTTTGTAGGCAACCTCTGTGCTTGTTATTATCTTGTTCTTAAGTGTGGTGTACTTGCAGTATCAGTCTCAGCAGAGGACAATGTGCTAGTTTAATAGAACAAAATCCAGTTCTATCAACTTTTAGCCAGAAGTGAACAGCTGCAAAGTGTTTCTTAATAATATAATATGCCAGCTGAGACTCAAACTTAGTGTTTCATTGTGCATCCCTGTCCTAACACTGTGACAGACTTTTGCAGCCATTATATTTGTGAAGACCAATACCCCATGAGATAGGTATCTTTACCATTATGCATATTTCACAGATGGTCAATGGTGTAGTGCAGTCTATACTGCAGACATGGGCAGCGAACTGTGAGATTAAATTAGAACAGCTGCCCTTAGATCACTTGGTACTGCTCTGAACCTCCAGCTGAGAAAGTGCAACCCAGTTTCCTTGCTCACCAGTCACTTGTAATGGTTTGTTCTCTTCTTTCAGATGCTGGACATCCCACGAGTGCTGGACATGTTGAGGCAGCAGAGAATGATGATGGTGCAGACTCTTTCGCAGTACACTTTTGTCTATGGAGTTCTCATTCAGTTTCTCAAAAGTTCTAGACTTATCTAATCCCTGTCACTTCCTAAGGGACACTGCAAGAGTTTACAGAAAGGAAATCACAGTTGTCCAGACAGACCTGGTGTTTAAATTGATGAATCACACAGTTACCTTTTAGGGCTGCTGTGTGCCTGTTAAACCTAAGTCAGTGTAACAGTCCCTACAAAGTAGGATCTTTGCTGGAGTAAATTCTTCCTATGTTCAGCTGCAGTCATATTAAGGAAGAATTTCACTTGTACTGGTCTATAGTACTTACACATATTCTCTAGAGTGGTGTTACTCTGGGCAAAATAAGTATCATGGAATGGAAGTACACAGCACAATTTTACTAACATTATGTTTTGAAACATAATTTTTGACTGTGTGAAAGCTAAAATCTGTAGGAGCTCCTTGGGAATATCAAGGTCTTATGCAGTTTCACTCTGCTTTCAATTTTATATTTAGAACAATACATCTATATTTTTAAAAATGAACTTTTGGTTTCCTCTGGTTTACTTAGAAAAATTAACAGCTCTTAGATATTTCAAGCTGTTGCTTTAATAACAGTTATTTTTATATTCATAATTTTTAAATTAAAAAAACCAAAACACTACAACACAAAACTTTTTAAACAGAACAATGTTTTCAGAGGAGAAGACTGACAACGTTTGAACAAACTTCAAAAATCCTGCAGAAAGTCCTAGGGGAAGCTATTGGTAATTAGTTGTAGTGCCATGTAATAGAATTGACAAGTGAAAGATAATGGCAACTGTTGATAACTTCCATTTGAGTGGAGGCATTTTTACCTGAAACAAGCAGGGGAAAAATATTTTAAGTATCTATGAGGTTATTGGAAACAAATGGATGAGAGAAAGTACATATTCAGTATTATTCATATGTTTAGAGGACAGTTTGATTTTACTGGCTGAAATCAAAGTGGATGCAAATGTTTTAAGCACTTTTTTTTCTCTGTTATTTATGTAGTTAAATATAGATAATATAATCATGCATTGTTTCATATGGTAATATACCATTACTAACCTGATATTTTAGGAAGAGCCTTTTAAGTTGATTAAATGAGAGAACCAAAATGGGAGTAAGAAGGTGCACAGTGGTGAAGCAGAGATGGTCATATGAAGCATAACGGAGGAGGTGTGGCAGCTGTGATTGCTGGTTTACACAGTGCAAAGATGACTTCTAAAAATGTTAGTGTTCCCAGCCAAGAAAGCCGTTAAAGCATGAGATCCTCCGGATTATTTTGTCAGTACTAGAACAGATTTTGCTAATGCTGTGCAGCATTGCAAAGAAGAGTATTTGAGAACACTCGTAGAATGCAAGAGCTGTTAGAGGTAACACTGGAGATGTGGGTATTTTAGTAGCTGTGTAGGTGGCTGAGTCAATGGCTGTGGCATGGACCTGAAGATGAGTCATACCTTTGGTAGTTTCTGTTTTGTCCCATGGGGGCTGATCTAATGACAGTATCCCTAAATAATCCTCTGTCTGTGGTTTTCAGATGGGGACAGTGTGGTTTTAGCTGCCTTTCTGTGTTTTGAGATGCTGAGTTGAAAACCTATTCAAAATGAGCTATAGCTTTTAGATATCTGGTTTAATTTCAAAAAAACCCTATAGTAGATCAGTCTGCTGGAATGCTTAAGTGTCCATTTCCCTTGATACCTGCTTAGTGAAATGAAATGAAACTAAAAGTAATTTTGATCAGTGCTGAAATTATGTTATTTTTCTGAGCTCTAACAAGGGTTTGGAAACTATTAAAACCCTTTCAAAATAATAATTGTGTCCCAAAACATTAATTAAGAATGATAGATAGGTTGCCTTAATTTCCTCTATAATAAGCTACTTCCACAAAGAAAAACACACAGTCCAAATAACATTGTGCTAATATGTCATTCTGTACGAAATCTTTTACTTTAAGGCACACTGTATTGATCTGGTGCTTTCAGGTCTGCTTGGAGGCAGTCTGAATTTTTGTACTCTCAGTATAAATTAGATTGAATATTTCAGACTAGGGAAAAGAAATGTTGTTCTTACATAAATTTCCTAGGAATTATTAATTGCCAAATGTAAAACTGGAAGTCCAGAGGAAACCAGTACTGAAGACTGATTCTTTATATATAAATCTTTATATATATATATATATATATATATATATATATATATATATATATATATATATATATATATATATATATATCTTTATATATAAACAAACCAATCTGACATTTCTGTGTTGAAAGAAGTATTGAAAGAAACAAACATTCTTAGCTATTTGTAACATGTTTAATTTTTGCCACAATTCACTTCTATCTGCAGAAATCTTTTTGAATGGAAGGGCAGGCTCTAAAATGTAGTTTGTACCTTTTCCATGTCTAAACTTTGGACTGTGATCTTCATAACCTCATAAATGCGGTTTTAGTGACATGATGGACAACCAGAACTTCAAGCAACAGCTTTTAGCTGATCAGCAGTTACTGGGGCAGAACAGCAGCTGCTAAGCATTAGAAGGAGCAGTTATAAGAAACAATTTAATCCAATACTTACGGGATTATCTGACATGGGTGAGGAAACGTGTGTCTTCTGGCTTATTTTTCCGTTTCTGTTTCGCTGAAAGAATTTGTGTTCCCTTTTTTAGAGGCAGTTGCTCTCCAATCTGATAGGCACAGTCGTAATTTTTATTTTTAAGCATAACACTGCTACCTCCTCCCCTTCAGCTTGCAGTTCTGTCCATCAGCAGTCTGTTTTTGCCTTAATAGACTTGACCTTAATAGACTTGACTTCACGTGAACTTTTCTACTGAAGATTGCAGGATTGTGTTTGTATGTAAGCATATGGCTCTGAGTGAGCATTGAAAACAAGCAGTTTCTCTTCTAAAGATACCAAGTGAAATTAAACTTCACAATCCTCCTTAACAAAATGATTTTTAAAACCATTGTTTAGATTTTCAGTTAACTTATAAAACACAATTCAGTTTTTAGCACTTTGTTCTGAGCTTTGGAAAGGGATGCATTTTTACTTGTAGTTGTGCTGGGTGCTTCATGAAGTGTTGGACGTTAGAAGAACATCCACTGTCCAAATCCAGTCACAGTGAGTCAGAGGTGAATTTATTTGTCAAAGGCTTAAAATTCCACTATAAGCCTGTTCATTTTGCCAAATGTGTTTCTGTATCTACGGGGATGAAACCAGATTATTACGCAAGATTTGAACGGATTTTGTTTAGTAAGAAAAGTTGTATGAAGACATTCTTGCAGTAAATGGCAAAAATGATGCTGATCTCTAGGGATGTCAGAGCTCTCAGGGAAAAATAAAGGTGCTATATACTGTCAAGAGACAGATTTGACTGTCTTTTGTTGGGTAGGTGGAAGATGCTTTTTAGGATCAAATTCAATGAAGAGTCAGGAGAAGAACCCGCAAATTATAGCAAGGACTTCTGCACATTTAATTTCTTTCTTGGTTGCTCTGATTGGAGATTTTTGGCCAGTGAATCTTCGTAGTTTTGAGCTAGAAGCTCTTCTCTGAGAAGTTAAGTCAGAGCCCTGTCCATTGCAAAGATGTCACTGACTTAGCTGGATTATCTGTAGGCTGCAGCTCCCTTCTGGCCCTGTTGGGTGAGGGAGAAGCTCTGTGCTACACAGGGGGGTTTTGCACAGCCTCTGCAGCCTGCACAGCAGTGCTCTCCTTCTCTGCTGTACCCTGGGAAGAGCAGGAAAAGTTTTATGCCTTAGTATTGCACTCATTGCAATACCTTTTGCACAAGTGAACAATAAACACTACAAGTACAGGGTGCTACGGTTTATATGTAGTAATATATTTAATTCAAAGCAGGTGAGCAAGGCAGGGTCCCTGTATTTCTGTGGATGAAGAGCTGCTCTAAGTTATTATTAACATTTAGGAGAAAAAAGTAAAATAAAGTAATAACAAATAAAAGTAAAATAAATTTGTACTAAAATGGAAAAGATTCTTGACATTTTGAGAAATTTTCTTCTGGTTTCTCATATAATTCTATGTGTATCTGTTTGAAGTGGACAACACTTGGAGCAATTTTCTCCAAAATAGCTCCTTTAATTTTAATAAGTAAGACTACCTGAGACTGCTGCTACGTATTTTCTGTTGGAGCAGCTGTTAAAGTTGAGTGGCTCATAGATTTCAGTGGCCTCCGGACCAAACTTGGGAGCTGCAGGGTTGTTTATCATACAAGCTAGCTGTGTAAGGAGACCTCAGTTTTAATATCAGTAGCATTACTAAATCCCTGGACTTAAAAATAGTGAACCCATTATTATATTTCAATAGCTAGTTCAAATTATTAATTTTAAAAAATCAGTGCTTCAGTTGCTAAGAACTCAGTGCTTTAGAATTTAGGGGGGTTTTTTTGTGTTTGTTTTTTTTTTAATACTGCAAAGTCATGCAAAGCCAGAGTCCAGTCCTGCAAGATGCAAAATTCCTGCAGTTCTTCTGTGGGAATTAAAATGGGCTTATTGCCAATGAAAGCTTGAGCCCTTAAGGCATGAATACTCACGTCTGCTTTAAATTTAAATACAGATTACAAGAATTAACCAAAAGAATGCAATAGGAATGTGCATATAAGAAGGTACAGCATTCAAAGGAAAAGCAGCTGAGAATTCAGAAGAAATTCTCTTGTTTTGGACAAGAGAATTCAAAGTTTTGGACATAGACAGTGAGGATTTAAGGAGTGGCAGAAGGCATTTGGAGGAGGATTTGGAATGTTTCGTATCCACAGTAGAGCTGCTAGAAGGGTTTGAGTCATATGGTATGTTTTTCATGGCATGGTAGGGTAAGTGAATATGTAGTCATAAGTGTTATTTTTACTGGCTTTTTAAAATGTGATTTTTTAAACTCCAAATATTTTTTCAGGGGCTCTGTTATTTTTATGTCTCTTTCTTTCCAATTGTCTTGAATAAAATCTGTCAGCTCAATTTCTGTTTAATTATTAAAGGTCAGATTTTTCAAACCACAGTCTCTGGTTTTACAGATGCAGCATGCAGGGGAAATAGGCATTTTTTGTAATTTGGCAGTGATGACTTCTAATGGATGCAGGTGAGATGATTTGGAAGTCTGAATATGTTATGAATGAAGCCAGGTGTTTACAGTTGGTGTGAGTTGCACCAAGTTAAGGCTGGGCTGACAAAGAGACTCTTGAAATATGGAATTTAACATGTGCTTAGAAGTTCTGTTGCAGTCCAGCATTTGCAATGCAGGGACATTAAAATAACGTAATACTGTGCTAAGGTAAGGGAAAAAATCTTAATTAACTGCTGTAGCAAATATGTCTGTAAAAACAAGTTAAAGGATAACATTTCTTAATAAGATCCTGCTGGGGACCAGCTAACTTGGTGCATTCTGTTGGAATCACGTATGTTACTTTAAGGTCTAACTGGGCTGAAAAAAACAGGATTTGTTAACTTCAATGAGCATTTCAAAAAGCTTTTGCTAAATAGCCTTTGGTTCTATTCTTTGCTGTTTTCCACATGATGCTGCATTCAGTGGTGAAGAATAACATCCAGGGTATTTGCTTTGTAGAAGTCTATTCTTCAGCTCTACTTAGAGGATGAAGATAGAAATCAAATTTAAAGAATCGGATGAATAGAGTTTACAACAGATCCAGCCTGTGGCAAGTCAGAGAGCAAGTCAGTAGATATTGTAACATTCTCTTGGTTCAGATATGCAGCAATCAGAACTACCAAATTATTAGTTTTATGAGTACAGTTTCAGAAGGTGCCTAACTTTCATAAAGGGAATTTAAATGCTGTTTTTCCATTTGGAAATATTTAGGTAAAATTAGGAGACTTTAATACTTTAAAGACATTGCAAATGCCATTAATTTTTAGAATGGTAGGAGACTTGATGGGGATAACCCCTGAAAAATCCTCCAGTATGTCACCTTGCTAATCCTGGATAATTCTGACAGACAAGGTGTGTATGCTCTTTACAAAGATACTTGCTTAAATTGCTTTGAAATACCCAACGTGCCTGTCCTCTTTATGGCTGATCTGAGAGGACTTGGATGGAAATTTTAGAGGCTTTACTTGGCGAATCAGTAAGCATGTGTGCTCCACACTGCTGAAATCTCTCCATTCAGTTAAAGCAAATGGGTGTTTGAAGTCCAATCAGCACTTTTGTAGGATTGAATTCTTAATGTCAGAGGAACACGGGATCTGGCTCCATTTTCTTCGATTTTCATTTGAGCCAGTATGCAAGGATTTAAATGAGATGTTGTTTAAATAGTAGCAAACATGAAGTATTATTTTCTAGTACCAAGCTAGTGGTTTATGTCTATTTTTGCTGTCTTGTCACCAATATTGTAAAAATGTATAATCAAACCAGCTTTAATTCTTGTAAAACTGAAATTGGTTTGTAAAACAATGTATAAATTGTGTTTCATAGACAGAAAAGCTTGTATTACTGAATGTAATATATGTGAAATGAATATATTATAGTCTATTTTTGCCATGGAAATAAATATTTGAAACAGCTATGAGTTTTTATTGTTCCATTATAAAAAGAAAAATCTGAGAATTTAGTGTTCATGTGTAATCCTAAGCTGGGACTTTGCCTTCAGTACACAAAGGTGCGATCCCTCTTCTAAAGCGCTGCAAGTACTGGATATAAAATTTAGGCTGTCAAATACTAAGTGCTATCATCTTTGTGGCAGGAAAGTCTTGTGCCTGCTGCCCTGTCATTATAGTTCACAATGTTCTGCATTTTCTAAAGTCATTTTTGGTACTGAGCTTTCAATTTTCCTGTAACCTTTAAGTGTAGGAGGGATTCAAAAGTTTTGAAAAGTGTAGAACCCTTTCCAAAAGGATGCGAGAGGAAACAGTTGATTGTATGCTTACTATTATTGGACCTGCTACCAACAACTAACACTGAAGTTTTTCTTCATTTTATAATTGGCATTTAGTTAAAAAGGTAGTGGTACAAAGGCTTGCTCTACACACCTGGTGCACCCTGAGACTTTATAACGCCATGATATGTGAACTGAATACTGGACATTACAGTTTTCCATTGGACAGTTGCATTTCTTTGTCTTTGCTAAATGCCTAGTGCATTGTCCACCTAACTATATCTGAAATAATCAGGCTTGCTTTTAACTAAAATTTTGTCTTCTAGGTGCACTCAATTTGATGGCATTAATTAGCTGAAGGTAA